CTTTGTGACATCAATACCGCAATCAACACTACGGACGAGACCAACCAACCAAACCACCGCTCCCCCCTCAGATCGGCCGCCCGGACAAGACGAAACCGCCCGTTCATCCCCCTCCCCACCCCGATCCACCGCACCATCCCCCCATCGCCCCCACCGCCGCAAGCCCTAGGGAGGAGACCCCCGCCCCGATCACGAGCCCTTCCCAACCCAACGCGAGGCAAACAAGGAAGCAAGGAGCGGGATAGAGAGAGAGAGGAGGGGAGATACCCACCTAGGCGCCGCGGCGGCGACGTCCCGCTCCCCGGGGAGCGGTGCGGCGGCGGCGGCGGCGGCGGCGGCGAGGCGGGGAGCTAGGGTTAGGGCTGAGCTTATCTGTGTCTCTCTCTCCTCGCCTCTCCTCCCGCTCTCGTATTTCTATCGCTCGCTCTCACCTCGCCTCGCCCGCGCCGCTGCCTCCGACTCCTCTCCCTCCCTCTCTCGCCTTGCGTTTTTTTTCTCTTTCCTTTCCTTTTTTTTCCCCTTTCTGCCTTGTATTTTTTTCCCTCTCCTTACAGAGAGAGACGGGTTGCGTCGCGGACAGGAGAGGCGTGTGGGCCCCACTGGCAGAGACCCGCGTGGGTCCCGCGCGCAGTGAGGTAAACGGGTCGTGGCGGGCCCCAGCTGGCAGCGCTCGGAACGCTACGTGTGGGCCCCACGCGCAGTGAGAGAGGAGCATAGGTCGCGTGGGGCCCACGTGGCAGAGGGGGTGCGTCGTGGGCCGGGCGTGAGGGGCACGGGCCGTGTGGGGCCCACGTGGAAGTGCGTGGCTTGGGCTTGCGGCGACGGAACGGAACGGAAGGGGAAGCCGACGTCATACGCGGCACGGGGGGATGGGCCCGCATGTCGGTGAGAGAGGATGCTTGCGGATTGGGATAAGGTAGGGTGGGGGCCCTTTTTTTTGGGGGGGGGGGGGGGGGTTGGAAAGCGGTGGGGATGAACCGGTAAAATTACGTTTGTTGGAACGGAAAGTTTGTGGATCATGTGTGTACTTGAATCAATGGAGTGTGTGGATTAGTGTTCATAATTATTGTGCTTTGTGCTTTATTACTACTCCTACTTTGAATTAGCCTTTTTAGGCAAGGGCATGTACAATAGTTATCAATAGTGGTCTCTTAGCGTTGCTAATTAGAAATACTTGTTGACATGGAAGAAAGAGAAAGGGGAGAGACAAAACATCGTTGTTATGCATGACAACGACTCTTAATCACTATAATATGGAAGTATGGTTATATAATATGGAAATATGGTTGTATGAGGGTAAAAAGATAGAAAGAATATTAATAAAAGGAATATTTTTTGAGTTAATGATTAGAGCCTTTGTCGTCTCAACTATTGTAAAGATATGGTCTCTTAATAATCTTGTATTGTTTAAGAGACCATACTCATCTCTACCATTGAACATGCCCTAATATGAGCTCTCTATATTAATTAATGTCACTAGAGACTACCATCCTACAATAGTAGAGACAATATGTAACGTCCCGCCTTCCCCCAGGCCGGGCCGACCAACACATGTCTTTTCTGCACACTTTGTCCTCACTCGTGTGCACCCGGGAAGAATTTCCCGGTCGGTCACCCATCCCAAATTGCTCTAGGCCAAGCATGCTTAACCCTGGAGTTCTTTGGAGATTGGATTCCGGAAAAGAAGTTGCAACTTGTTGATATGAGTATTCTATTAATCCTATTAAGCCCTAGGCCGGGATGTTACACAATAAGATTTGTAAATCATTAATGCACTAAATATTTTTTTACTATACTTCTTTCCTTTTATACACCATCATGCAGCAAACTTTCCGTTAATAAATGCTAAGAGTCGACTCTAAGCAGTTGTCATGCGTAGGAACGATGTTTCTCCTTTCTTCCCTCTCTTTCTTCCACGTCACCAAATTTACTTACATGAGCATGACTAGGGGTGGGCAGAAAAAGACCGAACCGAAAAGATCGAGACCGAGACCGAGAAATTCAGTAATCAATTCGGTCCTAGGTAGTGAAAGACCGAATTTTGTTCGGTCAATTCGGTTAGTCTCCTCGGGTAACCGAATAGACCGAAAAAACCGAATTATCAAAAAATGTCTAAATACAACCTACAATCCACTATATTTAATAGGATTAAACTCTAATTTTCACATCCCTACTTCTTCTAGGCATGCAACCTAATAAGAGTCTTTACTCATAAGTGCTTACGAATTTTTTTGTGATTTTTGTGTTGAAAATTTCCATTATTTCTTTGCATATATGAAAATGTTGTTGAATTTCGGTCAGGACCGAGACCGAAAAGACCAAGACCGAATTTGTCGGTCCTGATATTTTTTCACTGAAATTCGGTCTTCACTTTTCAAAGACCGAAAAGACCGAAAGACCAAAGACCGAGACCGAAATTTTCGGTTAGACCGAATGCCCACCTCTATGCATGACAACGAAGAGAGCCCGCTATTAGACACTATATTGTACATGCCCTTAGCACTCAACCTAACAATACATGTTTACATTCTTCACATTCCTAAATTTCTAATGTTTGGTTTACTTGTCAGGCAAACTAGCTATTTTTAGCAGATTGCTTTTATCATTTAGTATTAAGTGTATTGCAATTGAAAGCGAGACTTGGCTCTCCTTCGAAAACGAAGTTTTACAAATTGAGACGAATTGGCTCCTGAAAGTTAGATTATTTTATTCCAAATATCAGACATGGCTTAATCAAATGCATGTGCAACTAAACTAAATCTAGCATGCCATTACGTAGACTTAGTTAGGGCTTCAGTGCCAAATACATGATTGGTTACAAATTTGGCAAGTATATGCGTTCGAGTAAAAGAAACACAACCAAATTTCAAAATATATTTTCATCGGAAACTTGGATGGTACTTAAACATGAAATTATGGGATATTTAGATTGCTACAAAATAACCTTTTTCGAAATTTGGAATAACAAAAATTTTAGTAATTGGTAATATTGTCAAGTTTTGGTAGGGTTTCTTTTTTGGATGTGTTTAGCTTGGTACCCACATATAGGCTACCAAATTTTTGTTACATTTGGAGGCTGCCAGATTTTATTGTGATGTTACCAAATTTATGTGGGTGTTACCAATGTTCGATAATAAAATAAATACATTCATATGTTTTTTTATTTTTTAAATAATATTGTCTAAAATGACATCAATGTGGACAAGCTCTATGTTAATTTATATCGCCCTTAACCGTTAATTGAAAAATGCCTAGTTTTAGAGTATCACCTAAAAAATCCATCCAAAAATATCTTTGGAACCCTAAATAAAATTTGAAGTGTGAAAATATTCATCTTTCTAAGAGATGATTTATTATTGAATTCCTACAACTAAAATATTGGGACCATGTAAAACTAATACTAAAGTTCTATAGAAAAGTTGCTTTAACAAATCATATCAATCTATTTTTAAACTTTTTTAAAAAATAATTAATTAATCATATGCTAAACTTACTTCGTTTTAAGTATCTTTTTCCCTTCTAGGATGCTATCAAGCTACCTTTCTTCAACCCCATATTTGACTATGTTAAAAAACACAAAAAAAAATCCAATGTATCACCGACGTGTTGCCCCCATGCCCCACATGTCACCCTCTAATTGTACACCATTTTACATTGCATTTTTTTTATACGAGTGAGTTCATTATCTCAAAAAAATATGAGTGAGTTAAAGTTTTCATATATATCATCATGGTTTGAGTTTGACCATATCCCAAAAGGAAGAAAACAAAAAGAAGACGATCCAATTGCCAACTCCTATGTACACGTCACAAAATCGTTTAATATCGCTTCCCTTGGAGCTGAGCCTCGTTGGTATCGAAACATCGACGTAGGAGCCTCGGGATCAAATTAACAAAACCTTAGTGCTGGACAAGTGCAATGACTAATATGCCCTTACTAGCACCTAGTATCATTTTCTTTTTTTTTAAAGAACAATATCATTTTTGATAAAACATTTGCATCACCGGAGTAAGCGCTCTTGGACCTTACAGTGAATTTAGAGGTATTATTTCTTCAATAGTATTTGCTAACGAAATATTAAATTCTTACTCATAAATTTTTTTTCAAGGGTTTCATTATATGTCTCGGCTTAGGCTTAGCCAACCAAATGCATAAACTAGGAAACTCAATTTCTTTTTTTTAAACTCTTGGAGAGCTTTTGTTTCTCATCAAACATGTTTTCATAACATGGTTGATAATTTCATAAGATCATTTGATGGGCTAGATGGTTGTGAAAATTTGGATTTGACATATGAAGGACTTCCTAGAAAAAAAACCCTCAAAATTAGTTCAATTTATGTAAAATTTCAAACTTTTTCCCAAAAGGAGGCCCAATGAGAACTTGTATAGTCCTATCAGACATGGATGCTGCTTAAAAATTTAGCAGAGTTAGTCTTGGTTGGGAACCTTTCCCTCCAACACGAAAATGGAGCAGCTCATTAACACATAATTAATTAAGTACTCCCTCCGTATTTTAATGTATGACGCCGTTGACTTTTTGACCAACGTTTGACTATTCGTTTTATTCAAATTTTTTGTGCAAATATGAAAATATTTATGTCATGCTTAAAAAACATTTGATGATGAATTAAGTCACAACGAAATAAATGATAATTACATAAATTTTTTGAATAAGACGAACGGTCAAACGTTAGATAAAAAATTAACGGTGTCATACATTAAAATATGGAGGTAGTATTAACTAAAACCAACTTGAAAAATAGATTAGTATGATTTTAAAATAGTTTTCCTATATATATATATTTTAAAATATATACCATTTAGTAGTTTAAAAAACGTGCACGTGAAAAAAGAGTAGAAGAGATGGGAAAACAAAGAACGAAAAAAAAACCTTAACATTTTCTAAAAACCTGATGAAAAATCTGCAATTTTCTCAAAACTCATCCAAGGGCAAAATAGTCAAATCATCACTATTATAATTCTCATTAATCTTTCTCTTCCACAGTTCCACTCCTCCCTCACTCTCTCCCACAGTTAGCATCTCGCCATTCCTCCGATCCCCACCTCCACCAATGGCGCTCTCCATCTCCACGCCGCCGACCTCCTCCTCCCTCCTGCCGGCCTCCCTCCAGGTACGCCCTCCCGCTCCGCCGCCTCCTCCTCTCTCCGACGAGCTCTCATTTGCCCGGTTCGGCCGCTCCTCGCGCCCGTTTCACCCGTTCTTGGTCACCGCCGCCGCTTCTTCCTCTTCAGGTCGGCAGGTGGAGCTCGTCGGCGGCGATGTCGGCCAGGCCTGTGGCCTTTAGCCTCCGGAGGCCGGTTCTTGCGGCCCGTGTAGCCGCCGGCGGCAACGCACCGTCTTCCTCCGTGGACGGTAAGGATGCTGGCCTTGTGCTTGTCAGTTGTCTCCTTCATGGCTTCCTGTGTGATTTGAGTTACTGATTTTGGTCAGCTTGGTTGTAGAGGTGGTCACTGAGCTCGATGCCGTGGCCAGCTTCAGCGAGATCGTGCCGGATACCGTCGTGTTCGATGACTTCGAGAAGTAATACTAGTAGTTGCTTCTTTGCTGTTATCCCACCATTGAATTTAGTTGGCCGATCCAACTTAATGGAATGATAGTTCATAGGCTGCTCTGTTGATTGGGTTCAGGTTTGCGCCGACCGCCGCCACGGTGAGCTCGTCGCTGCTGCTCGGTATCGCTGGCCTCCCGGATACAAAGTTCAAGGTGAGGTGCTGTTGAAATGTGAAGCCAATCAAAGCACTGGAAGTGGAAGAGAGACAGTTGACTAATTTTCAGACTTTTGTTTCTTATAGAGTGCTATAGATACAGCGTTGGCAGACGGTGAATGTAACACAATGGAGAAGCCCGAGGACCGGATGTCCTGTTTCCTAACCAAGGTTTGCATACTGCATTTCAGTTTCAATGTAAGCAGTCTGTTTGTTGGATAAGTTGAGCATGGAGGAATTTGGCAGGCCCTGGCAAATGTTGGAGCTGAAATGGCTCATCTAGTCCCTGGTCGGGTGTCGACTGAAATAGATGCTCGGTTGGCTTATGATACCCAAGGAATTATCCAGAGGGTATGAGCTTCTTCCTTCTGTTTGTTGTTTCATGCTGCTTGCCTGAAATATTTATCCTTAGGGGAAAAGAATCCTCCGTGAATTGTGATCTGCAGTTGCAGTCCCATGAAAATAATTTGATATGCGTATGTTCAGGTGCATGAGCTTTTGAAGCTATACAGTGATCATGATGTCTTATCTGAACGCCTGCTGTTCAAAATTCCGGCTACATGGCAAGTAAGTAGAATGCAACACAGTAGTTGGCAAGTTGCCTGGTTGTACCTGCTGCCATTTCCCATCTTTGTAATCGATGTGTTCTCCACTAGGGTATAGAGGCCTCGAGGTTGCTTGAATCTGAAGGGATTCAAACACATTTAACATTTGTGTACAGGTATGTACATATGCTTTGCCTAATTTGATCATGGCCCTATTTCTTATAGTGGGCAATGGTATAGATGCTGGGTGTATGGCAATACTTATCTTTTTTGTGGGGTTAGAGAACTGCCTTCAATTTGTTTAGTCTTAAGATACTTCAGTAAGTATAAGGGAACTAATAAAGATTGTTTCTTATTATCATGCATCACTTATTAATGATGGCTCAATTGCATTGTAAGTATACATTTTGCTTTTATGTCAGCAGAAGAAGAGGTTTTCTATTGAATTTACCTGGTGAATTGTAATTACTCAATTAGGCCTGACTAGTTACTGTTGATAACAAGCTTATCTATAAAGGACTTGCACTATTGCAGGTGCATAAAAGCCATAAACTTACTCTTGCAATTTACATAAGATGGTATTGTTGGAGAGAGCAGACTGCAGGATGTGTAGCTCACCTAGTAGTTAGTAACTGAGAACTCGTAATCATTTTTTTTTGTGTGCCTGATCATTCTTCTTCAGTTTTGCCCAAGCAGCAGCTGCAGCACAAGCCGGTGCATCTGTTGTACAGATCTTTGTGGGACGTGTTCGGGTAAATTCATCAGACCCTTACCTTCATGGGTTTATGCTAATTCAAAAAAATTATGCTGACCACAAATTATGCAGGATTGGGCAAGGACTCACTCTGGCGACCCAGAGATTGATGAAGCTTTGAAGAAAGGAGAAGATGCTGGGCTTGCTTTGGTTAGCACTAAATTACCTTTTAATTTATGATTGTTCCTACAGAATTCTATCAATATGAACTAAAGTAGCCACATTTTGATAATCATGATAACTGACTATTTGAGCTCAACTAAAATATATTTAGTTGATTAGAGGTTGTGTACTTAACTATATCAGGTAATATGAACTATGCTTGGGTTGATTCTAGGACTTGGCATATTTTAGACTCCATTTGGTTCTCATCATCAACAATTTTGAGCAAACCATGTGTTAATCTGGCATGTTGCCCATGTTATAGTGTAATTGATAAAACTCATATAACTGAATAATCAGTGACAATTATCAAGGTTTTCATTAATAAAGGGACTATGAATGAAGAACATTATACTTATCAAGCGTTCACGTCTTCTCAATTCGATACTGAACTAAATTTCCGTTTACTCTCTACATGTTTTACATTCCTTACTTTTTCTGCAGTTGCATAAGTATTTAGTTCTCCATATAATTCTATATTGTAATGCAGGCGAAGAAAGTGTATGCCTACATTCACAAAAATGGGTATAAAACAAAGTTGATGGCTGCTGCCATACGCAACAAGCAAGATGTGTTTAGCCTCCTGGGGTATTTTTCTTATTACAGATCAAGATTGATCGCAATGGATGTTAGTTTGTACAGAACTAATATTTCTGAAATGTAGGATTGACTACATCATTGCACCTCTGAAGATATTGCAGTCTTTGGAAGAATCTGTCACTGATACTGACGTGAAGTATGGTTATGTCCCAAGGCTGACTCCTGCTCTTGGCAAAACGTACAACTTCACTGAAGAGGAGGTTTGCTCACTTATCCTGGATTTTGTGCAGAGTCTTATATCATGCATTCTGTAGCTCCACCAAACTACTCGCTATAAGAGACTCCTATTAGGGGTGTGATGTTTTATCTAAAATATATAGGATCTTCACTTGTCATGTGCTTTAACACTACTAGAGATGAAATAAGGAAGGAAAATAATATTTGGACTGTTTAGATCACCCTTAAAAGGTCATGTCAAAGCTCGTAGTAGGTGTAATCATGATTCACCAAACAGTTACTAGAACAATACAAACAAGTCATTGACATCCTATAAGAAGAGGAAAAATAAAACAAGAGAAGATAAGTGATTATATTTTTTATATGGCACCTTCATGCTAACTGTTCATATTTCAAATGATACCACGAATGCAGCTTGTGAAGTGGGACCAATTGAGTCTAGCAGCTGCAATGGGGCCAGCTGCGGAAGAACTACTTGCTTCTGGGTTGGAAGGATATGTGAACCAAGCACGCCGAGTGGAGGAACTCTTCGGGAAGATCTGGCCTCCTCCGAATGTTTGAACACATTCTATGATGAGGACCAGACCATGCCACAGTCTTCTATTCCAAAGAATAATAACAACAGCCACGGACAGTGCTGGCCAGCATTTGCTCGTTCCCTTCAAAGAATACTTCTCTTAGCCTGTCTGTGTTTGTACTTTGTAGTTCTCTAGCTATCTAGCAAATCTCACGATGACATGTCAAGAACATCTTTGTTTTCTTTTCGCAAAGATTGGATACGGATTTTCTCGAGTATTTCATTAGCCCGTGAGATGTGTACCATGAAATGTCACCCAAATGCTCTGCTGGATTGTTCTGAAGTCTGAACTGAATCTTCAGAGTTGCAGTTACTTATCACTACGTTTTTTTATAAAAAGATGGGTGCCATCAGCTAGTACTGTGAATTCCCATTTTCAGTAAAATGGAAGAAATGCTGATGAAAAAAATGCTGGTCAAACTTGCTCTCACTTTTCAGAGTAATCCTCTGTTTCTTTTCTTTCATGGACCTGACATCCCTATCATTCCAAATGCCAATTACCTAATACTACTAGGATGCTGGATATGGGTTCTGGTTGGATGCTGGTTAGCTCAGGAATCACACTGCTGGCATGAGCTTACTAGTTTTTGTTATACAGTTATCATTAACATACGTATTTATTTTATGCCAAATAGGCAGATATTGGAAACGTTTCAGTAGTTCGAGCAAGATCAGTTGGACAGGCCGGTGGTTCACGCCCATCCAGTGATGATGAAGTTATCATTTAATTTAAAAAAATATCAAAATAACATAATACTCTCTCCATATATAAAAGAAAAGAGTCTCGGATGTATTTCTTTTGTCACCGACTATCCCGTATGTGACTAAGACCAAAGACTTTAAGCATACATGCAACTAATGAGTATTAAGATAGCAACTTAATTCCCATCAACAATTTAATATAACACTGTAAAACAACAATTTAATATAGCACCATAAAACGAATAGACAGTCTCTTTGATGCATGGAGATTACAAATATGTTTAGAAAAATAAAATATGCTTAAGATTTTGGGATAAAGGGAGTAAAGAGTAAAGTGCATTTTTGTCCTATTTTCCACTGCAAACTACAAAATAAGTTATTATTTTACCCGCAGGCCGCAACCGAAACATAGACCATGCTTCCTCCAAATGTAGTTTTAACATAAGTTTTTGTCCCCTAAAACCCTTACTTTTAGAGTGGGTCCGTATTAATGAATGACATAGTGGTCTTTTAACCTCTTGCTGAATACTCCATCTGACCTAAAATAAATGCAATAATGTAATTTGAATTACACTGTTGCACTTATTTTGGGACGAACAGAGTATGTCTTTGACTATCTAATACTCCCTCCATCGTATAATATAAGGGATTATTCCCTTATGTGCAAGATTAAGGATATCACCAAAATACTAGAATACCCTTATTAAATGAAATTTGCTTATAGGTGAATGGGTAGTTGGGAGTTAAAATAGGTAGAAATTAAAATTAGAGTTGATGGATGTGACACCAAAATCCCTTATATTAATGGACAACTAGAAGAGGCTTTTAGGCACCATCTTTTCGCTTATACTTATGCTTATGCTTATCAGTCAAAATTTGAATTTTCAACCTTAAATTTGAATCTGATTTTGAAGTTTTTCATCGAAGTTTATTTTTCAATCTTTGCTTTTAGGTCGCTAAGAACACGTATATAAAAGTTTTATTCACAAATTACTTCTCGTTTACAAATATGCCGTTTACAATGGGGCCTAAAGTCTAGAGTACTATAGTCTTACAAGTACAAAGGAAGAATAGTTTTGATCGATGTGACAGTGGTTTCCACTAGAATGAACTTCAATTAAAAGTTGGCATCTGCATGGAGTGAACTGAAGAAAAACCAGTTCAAACGAAACTGTAAAAAACATGTCCCAAGGTGCTTCTGGTCCGGTTTTGTATTTTTCACCCAAACCGTCTATAGTTCAGGGTGAAAAATAGATCGAGTAAAGATCAATAATTAAAAATGAACTTTACACCCATAAAAACTAATGAGGTGTCCCTTGTTTGCTCTATGGCTTGATAAGGTATGGAAAAGAGAAAACAAGAGTAGAACTTAGTGATTTGAAAGCCGATGCCAAAAAAAAAAAAACCCCTCAAAATCAACTCTAAAATTAAGTTTGAAAATTCAAATTTTGGCTATGGTTGATAAACTAAAAACAACCAAATGGTGAAGTACTAATGTTTTTAAAAACTATTTTATTGTGTTTATAATTTTGTAATATTTCATATATTAACAAATCTACAAAACTCCATGAGTATAATTGATTATTATTTTAAAATAAAATGGCGTGTTAGGTTTTCACTTTACATGGTTTTACATGTTGCGTAAGTTACTTGCGAGAAAGTGTTTGAGGTTAGATAAATATCTATTATTAAAAGGAAAAACCTTTTAGGTTATCTTTTAAAAGACGATGAAGTGCCGTATATGATGAAAACACTCCTGTCATTAGTATTTCTAGCAATAAAATAAAAACCGTACAACAATATAACTCTAGCTTCACCAATAACCATAAATCTTCATCGAATGCCCTTGCATTGAGGGTAACATATCATATGACCAGTTCACTTGAGAGAAATAAATACTTAGGTGCAATGTATTGAGAATTTAGCTAGTTCGTACCAATATACAAACACATGGCGGCTTCTATATCCGTGATTGTTAACACTATTATATTGTTATATAGCACTGCCATACAACAATATATGAGCAAGTTCATATCGCCCTTAGATCATTGTGATTGGCTGGATTACATGGACCCGTACAAAAGTGCATTGGTTCGCCCCTAGTGTTATACAGTTACAACTACACCATCGTAGCACGTGTAAAACATCACACGATATAAAAGTTCACGTGGAAAAAAACAGGAGACGCCAGTTTAAAAACAACTAATATTTCACTGCTGCAACAGTTACTAAAAACCCATCAATAATGAAACCAAACCTTAGGTGGACTAGAGTGATTAACTTAATTTGGAAGTAAATAAAGGCTCCTCCAAAACTTCCTTTTTTTTCTTTTACATTCCTCCATGTAAAAATGGTTTCTCTTTCCTCTACACCCTTTTGCTCTTCCATTCTTTTGCCCTTCACTCCTCTCTCATCTTTTCACCCTTTTTCCACATTTTTTTTCACTTCAAAACCCCACACAACTGACACAAGAGAGAGAGAACCAAACCAAAAACCCCTCCTTTTTCTTCCTTCTCCTGCAGCGAGAGAGAGGATGGCGGCGGCGGCGGCGGTTGCGGCGGTGGTGGTCGCGGCCGTGGTGGCGGCGGCGGCGTCCGCGGCGGCCCCCGCGTCGGCCGGCGAGCCCACGCGCGACGTGCGGTGGGAGGTCGGCTACATGACGGTGGCGCCGCTCGGCGTCTCGCAGAAGGTTTGGTGGCGCGCCATGGCGTGCGCTCTGTTCTTGATTTCTTCCGAGAAATTTGGGCCGCCTTGTCTGATATTTTCTTCTTCTTTTTTTTTGTTTTCTCTCCGACATGTTCTTCTTCTTCTCTGTCTCCGTTGATTCTGCGCGAGTTTCTCGGGTGGTTTCAAATCGAAAAACGTCTCTCTCTCTCTCTCTCTCTCTCTCTCTCTCTTGCGTGGTTTTGAGGTTTGTTTGATGATGAATCTGGGGCTAAAAAATGCTTCCTAATTTTTTTTTCGCCGGTTTGCGTGGGCGGTTTCGATCGCACCGATCTCGTCTCGTCGTGGCGGTTTCTGTTCCATGTTCTTGCAGGGGTTGTAAATACGCGTTGATCGATCTGTCCTAATAAAAGACGACGTAACCTCATTTCCTCCGAAAAAAATAAATCGGATCCCGCAAACTTTGCAATTTTATCGTTGATAAAAGGAAAAAAGATCAACATTGCGTACAAAAGAGAGGGGAATAATGATATCATCTTTTCTGGGTTGGATTTCTGACTCTGTTTCTCGTTGATTTTGATCCTTTTGAGTTTTTGTTCATCTGCGAAACAGGTTTGTTGTTGAAAATTGATCCATTTCGAGATAAAACAGAACACATTTACACACACCAGATTTGAGATTTACAGATAGAAAATCTGGAAAAGGATTTGCGGACACAATTCTTGTGCAAGAATTTAGGGGTGTCATGCTCTTGTTTAGTTACAGTCTTATATTTTTTTCTTACCATATCAATATGAAACATTGCGCTATCTTATGCGTATTGTTTTAAAAAAATCTAGTGTAAGAATTGTTTTCTGATGGCATGAATGCAAATACTTGTTTTTTTTTTTTTGCAGGTGATCGCGATAAACAACCAGTTCCCGGGCCCACTCCTGAACGTGACAACCAACTGGAACGTGAGGGTGAACGTCCAAAACAACCTGGATGAGCCCCTCCTCCTCACCTGGTATTTACTAATCCTGCATTTCAATTGCATAGATCCAAAATTGACTAAGCTGGACTAGAAATTTTCGTTAAGATATTTTTATATAAAAAAATCATGTATTAATGAAAATTTGCACCATAATTTTCAGTTTCTGTTTCTGGTGAATTTAAACAGCACATTCATAGTGGGATTTTAGCTGTACATTTCCATTCTGTGGGGGCCTCTTGGGCTTCACATTAGGCATGCATGCTGCATTTCGGGGAATTTATGGGCTTAATTAGTTGTGTCATGTAGCCAAATATTCTTATGCTATATTGAGAATTTGAGATAGGATAGGCACACCACTGTACTTATCCACTGGTTTGCCCATTTTCTCAAGTTCATCCGTGCAAAATGATCAGTTTCATCAACAGTTCATTATGTTGACAACTTAATACATTATTATGTCAATAATGCATTTCTAATAAGAATAAATTTCACTTCAATACATGTGTTCTTCTTGAATTACTGTACTACTAGATCGATTACTAGCTAATAAAATTTGCTGTACACAATCTGTGTTGCACTTTGCAACTGAAAACAAGGTTAGAAATGTGAAGCCATACATAATAGTAACATGCAAAATGCCAAACACTAGAGGGTCCTTCTGCAAAATTTCCTTTTAAAAGTGAGCCTAAGGCTTTGCCTGCAATGGGTGGGTGGGAGTCATTGGCGCCAAATTTTCTCTGCATTGGAGTCTTGGAGAGCTCAGAGCTCACCTCCCTCTTGGCCATGGCAGGGATGGCATCCAGATGAGGATGAACTCATGGCAGGACGGCGTCGCCGGCACCAACTGCCCGATCCCTCCCGGGTGGAACTGGACCTACCAGTTCCAGCTCAAGGACCAGATCGGCAGCTTCTTCTACTTCCCTTCGCTTGGTCTCCAGCGAGCCGCCGGCGGGTTCGGCCCGGTCACCGTCAACAACCGCGCCGTCGTGCCGGTCCCCTTCGCCCAGCCCGACGGCGACATCACCTTGTTCATCGGTGATTGGTACACCAAGAGCCACGTCGTAAGCTCCGAGCTCTCCCTCTGTCTGTCTGTCTGTCTGTCTGTCTGTCTGCGATTACATTTTAGTTTACAGTGTCAGTGTTCATAAATCGTCGAGGAGAATGATATTAAGTTGCTTTCTTGATATCTCAACTGTATACTATTTTTTCTTGGTTTATGTTGCAAGCATGGTTATATGTAGTAATGTAGAATGATACTTAGATCTGTACTCTCTGAAAAGTAAGAGAATTCTTGTGTTCATCATTTAAGAATTGTGAAGTACAGTGATTTTTTGATCTATGGATAAGCTATATGGTGCATTATATTTGAAGAAAGTTTTTATCTGTTCTTCTTTGAATGTGAGAAGGTATCTCTGCCCAATGTAGGAATTGAGGAAAATGCTAGATGATGGTAAGGATCTCGGGATACCGGATGGAATTCTGATCAATGGGAAAGGCCCTTACAGCTATGACAACACATTGATTCCAGAAGGCCTTCAACATGAAACTGTTGGAGTTGAGCCAGGTAAGCACACTTAGTTTTCTTTTCCCCATCATATTTGCCTTATCATTAGTTTTCTGCATGACCTATTAAGCCTGATTCAGTTTTTACAGTGATGCAATTGCGAAACATTATAGATATGTAGTCAAAATTTGGAAAAAGTAAATAATCATACTTCCTCAGATGAAAAAAGACATCATATCAATTACCACCTCCATTTCATATTATAAGTTGCCTTGAATTTTTTTCCTAGTCAAACTTCTTTAGGTTTGACCAAGTTTATTTAATAGAAAAATTTGGCAACATCTACAATATCAAATTAGTTTCATTAAATGTAACATTGAATATATTTTGATACTATGTTTGTTTTGTGTTGAAAATATTGCTATATTTTTCTACAAACTTTGTCAAACTTAAAAAAAAATTACTAGGAAAAAAAATCAAAACAACTTATAATATGAAATGGAGGGAGTAGTAATCATAAATAGTTGAAGATCAGCTTTCATCAATTCTGTTATTTTGTAGCAGCAAAGGACAGAATTTTCTGTCTGAAATGTCTTGCTGCATTTACATACAGATATCAGGATGTGAATAAATGTCTATCACTGATCAGTTATCAGGATTACTGCAAAAATCTTTCAGTCATGCCAATTTTAATGATCTGAAGATTTCTGACTAGAACAATATTTCATATACTTGTTACAGGCAAAACTTATCGCTTCCGTGTTCACAATGTCGGCACCTCAACTAGCCTCAACTTCAGAATCCAGAATCACAATATGCGCCTAGTAGAGGCCGAAGGAACCTACACTTATCAGCAGAATTACACCAATCTTGACATCCATGTTGGACAGTCATACTCTTTCTTGGTGACCATGGACCAAAATGCAAGCACTGACTACTACATTGTGGCGAGCCCAAGGTTCGTCACGAACGAGTCTCGCTGGCACGATGTCAACGGTGTGGCTGTCCTGCAGTACTCAAACTCCAAAGGAAGAGCTTCTGGTCCCCTTCCTGATGGTCCAAATGATTTCTATTACAAGTCCTATTCCATGGACCAAGCCAGGTCTATCAAGTGAGTATTAACCACTAGTACTGTTGTGCTCTGTACTAACAAATATCCTTGCATTATTAGTAACTATGATGCTGTTGATTAATGATAGTTTTCTTGATTGTAAGAATCATCTAGTTTCAAGGTTGTCATTTCCAGTGACTACATCTCAAGATGACATGTTCTCCATTGATAACCATTGCAATTGTATTTTTCAGAATGAATACAACTGCTGGTGCTGCACGTCCAAATCCACAGGGATCATTCCGCTACGACTCTATCAACATCACTCAGACCTTCGTTCTCAAGAACGAGTTACCTTTGCTCATCAATGGAAAGCGTCGAAGGACGATAAACGGGGTCTCATACTCTCCACCAGAGACTCCACTGAGGCTTGCTGATCTCCACAACTTGACTGGAGTGTACAAGACTGACTTCCCCACAATGCCAGGCAATGCTCCACCAAAAATGGCTTCATCCACGCTGAACGCATCGTACAAGGGCTTCCTCGAGATCGTCTTTCAGAACAATGACACTGGTGTTCAGACCTACCATCTGGATGGTTACTCATTCTTTGTTGTTGGGTATGTGATGGAAAACCAAAACAGTTTCTTTTACCATGTGATCATGTGTTATGAATTTCTGGTTAGTCATGTAAAATGACACAGTCCTGCATCACCATTTTGTGAATTTCAGGATGGATAATGGTGATTGGACTCCAGATTGCAGGAGTAGGTACAACAAATGGGATGCCATCTCTCGCAGCACTACTCAGGTACACAACTTCATGAAGGACAATCTGATCATATGTCAAATTTGTATACTTACAAAACATGTGCATCCTTGAGTATTCTGAACAATGCAAATTTGCAACATTTTTCATAGGTTTTCCCTGGAGGGTGGACTGCGGTTCTAGTCTCGCTCGACAATGTTGGCATCTGGAATCTCCGGTCTGAGAAGCTGGATAACTGGTACAATGGGCAGGAGGTCTATGTGAAAGTGGCTGATCCACTGGGATACAACATCACTGAAATGATCATGCCAGATAATGCATTGTACTGTGGTCTACTGAAAGACTTGCAAAAGTAAGTTTCACCGGATCATTTCTGTTTTCTCTTTGTTTCACTGATAGTAGTACATTCTGTTTTTGGCCACTTACCTTGTGTTCTGGAAAACCTTGCAGGCCACAGATTCACCAGGTAAACAGCAAGTCATCGGCTCAAGCTGCAGATCGATGGGGCGCGCGAGTTCTTGCAATGGTGTTGCTGATCATTGCAGCTGTGGTTTCCATTTAAATTTGTTGGAATCAGATGAGGATATCTTTTAGTTAGGCTCTGTGGGTGATAGAAAATCATATTGTTCTTTGAGTACAGAACAACTTGAGGAAGCTGTCTGTGCAAAGTGCAAAACTTGGATTCTAGAAATGAAAAACCTGTCAATTTTCCTACGGTTTTTGTTCTGGCTTTCACCTGAGATTGCATTGCTCATGTGCAGTAAGCAGGTTTTACCTCCATGTGATCTAAAGCCTAAATTGTCCGCAGTACTGTTGTAAGTCAGGAAGTACTTCATTATCTAATTAGTTTTTTAAAAATATAATACATCAGGAAAATTCCATTAGGAATGCATTCGCGCACACATACACACAAAGATCCCACTGGTTTACTGGACTCCTCGTAGATTCAACAGAAATAGCTCAATTCTAGTGCTCCCTCGGTCTTAAAATATAGTTATTTTTAATATTTTAAACTTGTCTTATATCAGAATACTACTTCCTCCACCCAACTACAACTGATTTTAATTTATCTAATTTTACCCTCGACTCCTTAACCAGCCCCTCATATAATGAGGGATACTATGATATTTTCCTTTTATCCTTAGTCCCAAAAAATGAAGATTAGAAGCTCTTATATTTTGGGAAGTCAAAAAAGATGGAGGGAGTAAAAATCAATAGAAATTCTTGGCTAAACAAGCTTTCAGTCTCTTCGAAGACGTCTTTCAATTTTCTCGTTATTCTGAGGTGTAGGGTCCCCATCTTATTATTCAATTTCCTAAGAATGCATCATATAAGCTTAATATAAGAGGACTTTTATGGTATAATATACTGCTAGTATATTTACTGCAAGTATATATGATCTAACGGTATAGATTGATTTGATTTTTTAGTTAATTAGATTGCAGTATAAAGTTTGAAAAGGTAATTTTGTCTTTTCTTCATTATTCTATCATCAAATCGTGCTATCATCACGTGCTTCGTCATCAAATGGCGCTCAGGATACTCCTCCCTTAGTGCACGATAAGATCCAGTACCGGGTACTCCCAATTAGATTCAATCTGAACAAAAAATTACTAAAGTGTTATTTTATTTTCTATCAAATTCCTAGCATGCCCTTCTATATACTGCTAGTATATACTAGTAGGATATTGTACCGTAAAAGTTCTCTAATATAAGGCCACCGCTATTAATAGCCATTAACCGGTAGGGCCCATTTAAACATAAAATAATTCTATTCAAACATGGCCTAAGTAAATTCACTTGGTACTAGGCCCTATTAGACCCGTGAGAGAGTAAATGCAACCAATACTATAATTCATTATGTTGTTCCATTCATGTTATTATGAACAAAATGCCAAGAAATTATGGAGAAGTGAATGGGAGAGATGAGCTTGACTCCTTTTAAGTTGAGGTTGAAGTTAACCCAACTTAATGTCTTGCCCAAATACGATGGCACTTATATTACCAATATGGCTCTTTGCCTCCCACGAGAAATTGATCATATCCTAGGCCTAGCCATCTATATGCCACGGGGACAATAATATGGATGGTAAATAATCAATTTGTGATCCTAAAGGGTATCAGTAGTAGCGTTTCAAATCATAGGATGAAAGTGACTCCACCTTATATCGATGAGTTTGCTTAGGTTTGCTGTGGTGCGCATGGTGAGACCATCAAATACTTAAAATGTAAAAACAATATATACATAGGTATGCCAATAGGTGATGGCAAAAGTGTTCACGAGAATTTCCAAAGGTACAACTAATGTGGTTGATTTTTTTTTAACTATTGTGATGCGAAAGTTCAAGGTATCTATATTTTTTTCACATGATCGAGCGATGTTATTTCGTACTTGAGATACTTTTGCATGGGAAGAGATGTAGTTTAGTTGAAACAAACGATCGGATTTACTTCAAGATCTAGTCTACCAGATGTTTTAGTACCGTTGCTGCTACTAAGAAAGCAGTACATCGTATTTTCTATAACTAAGTACATTTTGTTACTTATTTACTGAGGTTGATGAGCTCTACTAATAGGCGAGCACCTGGTGAAAAATGCTGGTTGTTGACGAGATCTTACTCATATAAGTTAGTGTTCAAATACATAAATGCAAAGTTGAATCATACACATGTGTGAGAGTTTTTATGTGTGAATACAAAGGTAGCTTGTTGAAATAATTTTGATATTTTGTTTCAACCAAACTCTATCTCCTCCTCTTTTATACATTTCCTTATCACACAATAACATAGGAGTACTATCTATTGAGTTACATGCACTGATCAGTTCAACCCAAAAGCTTAAGTTGATGGAGAAATACAGACAATTCACTTTATATTCCAACGCTATGATTTGTTTCAATTTTGAAAATGGCATGAAAGGCTAATCTAGCAATAAACAAAGCCAAGAAAAAAGAAGAAAAAAAACCCATGGTAATTGCGCTCACCCAAACCCCAACACATCCGCCGCGTCTAGGGCTTCCTCGCGCTCGCCGCCGGCCGCCGCCGTGAACATGGGCTCCGGCGACAAGGCCATGTTACGACCCCGATCGCCGGCGGCGCTGCTCGCCGGAGATCCGATAGAATAGGAGTAGAGACGGGAGGAAGAAGAGAACACGAGAAGCAGAGGAGGGGAATCTTTTCTTTTTTCTTCGATAGTTTTGGACGCGGTATCCCCCTCACACACGCGACACATACTCCTCAGGTCCCACCACTTAGTGGCTTACAGGTTACATAAATAAATTACGCAATCTTATTGAGAAAACGCCTTTCCTCTGTACGTTTTCCACCTCTGCTCTGATTCAGCACAGCGATTGTTGCTCATCAGACAACCGCTGTGACAGGCCACCACCTCCAAGCACCACCGCCGCGACAAGGACAAGGACCCCGACCGCGAGCGCCCCTCCTCCTCTCGCCACCACCACCACCACCACCACCGCGACGACAAGGACGGCGAGCGTGACCGCGACCGCGATCGCCACCACAGGGAGAAGGAGCGCGATCGCGAGGAGCGCAAGGCGCGGGAGCGCGACAAGGAGAAGGAGCGGGCGCGGCGGCGCGAGGAGTCGTCGCGGTCGAGGAGGCATGGGGCGTAGGAGGAGGAGGAGGGAGAGGGGGAAGATGAGGACCGCCACCGCAAGCGCCGCCGCCGGTCCTCGCACCACCACCACCACCGCGGCGACGCGGAGCCGGAGGCGGCGGCTGCCATGGAGGAGGAGGAGGTGGTGGTGGTGGTGGATGAGGAGGAGTCCGAGAGGCGGCGTCAGAAGATGATTGAGGAGGAGAAGAAGCGGCTCGACGAGGAGATGGAGCTCCGCCGCCGCCGTGTCAAGGAGTGGCAGGAGCAGAAGCGGTTGGAGGAGGAGGAGGCGAAGCGCCGCGAGCAGGAGGCGGCGGCCGGTGCTGGCACTCCTGCCGCGGCCGCTGGGGCCGACGGCGATTCCAATGCCGGGAAGAAGTGGACTCTGGATGGTGAGGAGTCTGATGAGGAGGGATACAAGGAGGATAGCCAAAATGCAGAAGATGACGGTGGCATCACTGCCGATTTGCCGAGTGAGGTGAATGATGCAAATGTTGCTGCTCCTATGGAGGAGGATGAGATTGATCCGCTCGATGCATTCATGAGCTCCATGGTGTTGCCGGAGGTCGCAAAGCTGGAGACGGCTGTGGCATCAATGGAGAGCATGCCTGCTTCCAACATGGGTGATAAGAATGGTAAAAGTGCAAAGGATGCTGTGAGTAATGGTGATAAGAAAGGGCAAAAGAAGGCAATGGGGAGAATTATGCAAGGGGATGATTCGGACTCTGATTATGATGACGACGACGACGATGAGGGTGGATCGAAAGATGAGGATGATGAGGAGTTCATGAAACGTGTCAAGAAGACGAAGGTAGAAAAGCTGGCTATTGTTGACCATTCCAAAATTGAGTACCAGCCATTCCGGAAGAATTTGTACATTGAGGTGAAGGATATCACAATGATGACAGGAGAGGAAGTGGCTACCTACAGGAAAAATCTGGAGCTCAAGGTACATGGGAAAGATGTGCCCAAGCCAATAAAAACATGGGTGCAGAGTGGGCTGACCAGCAAGCTCCTTGACACCATCAAGAAGCTTGGTTTTGAGAAGCCGATGCCTATACAGGCACAGGCATTACCAATCATAATGAGTGGGCGTGATTGTATAGGAATTGCAAAGACTGGATCGGGCAAGACTCTAGCGTTTGTCCTGCCAATGCTCAGGCATGTCAAAGACCAGCCGCCTGTTGTGCCTGGAGATGGCCCTATTGGGCTCATTATGGCTCCTACCAGAGAGCTCGTGGTGCAGATACATTCAGACATTAAGAAGTTCGCGAAGTCGCTTGGCATCAACTGTGTAGCTATCTATGGAGGTTCAGGTGTTGCCCAGCAGATCAGTGAACTAAAGAGGGGCGCTGAAATTGTTGTTTGTACACCGGGCAGGATGATCGATATCCTTTGCACCAGCAGTGGAAAGATTACTAACCTTCGGAGAGTTACATTCTTGGTGATGGATGAAGCTGATAGGATGTTTGATATGGGCTTTGAGCCTCAGATTACTCGGATAGTTCAGAATACCCGCCCAGATAGGCAGACTGTTCTTTTCTCAGCCATTTTTCCACGGCAGGTGGAGATACTGGCACGTAAGGTGCTGACAAAGCCTGTTGAGATCCAGGTGGGTGGGAGGAGTGTCGTCAACAAAGATATCACACAACTGGTTGAGGTGCGGCCAGAAAATGAGAGGTTCTTGAGGCTGTTGGAGTTGCTTGGAGAGTGGTTTGATAGAGGCAAAATTCTTGTTTTTGTCCACTCACAAGATAAATGTGATTCTCTACTTAAAGACTTGTTTCAGCGTGGATATCCATGCTTATCTTTACATGGTGGGAAAGATCAGACTGACCGTGAATCAACTCTTGCTGATTTCAAGAGCAACGTATGCAACTTGCTGATTGCTGGTTGTGAATTAGATGTGAAGTAGCTTGAGCTGGTTGTGAATTATGATGTCCCTAACCATTATGAGGACTATGTTCATCGTGTTGGACGAACTGGTCATGCTGGTAGGAAGGGCTTTGCTGTGACTTTTATTTCTGACGAAGAGGAGCGGTATGCACCAGATCTTGCCAAGGCTCTGGAGCTTTCTGAACAGGCTGTTCCACAGGACCTTAAAGGCCTAGCTGATCGTTTCATGGCAAAAGTGAAGCAAGGAACAGAACAGGCCCATGGAACAGGGTATGGTGGAAGTGGTTTCAAGTTCAATGAAGAAGAGGATGAAGCTCGGAGATCTGCAAAGAAGGCTCAGGCAAGGGAATATGGATATGAGGAGGATAAGTCAGATTCGGATTCTGATGAGGAAGGAGGGGTTCGTAAGGCGGGGGGTGACCTTGCAGCACAAGCTATTGCTGCTGCCCAAGCTGCCGCTACTTTGGCTGCAGCCAAGGCTGCTAGTAATGCCAATCAGCAAGTACAAAGCACCAATGCAGGGTCCTTACTTTCTATACCTGTCGTAGCCAATGCTCCAAATAATGAGGCCACGGCACGTGCACTTCAGGCTGCATTGAACATTCAGCAAAATTTAGCACGGATACAGGCACATGTAGTCCCAGAACATTATGAGGTTGAACTTGACATTAATGATTTCCCACAAAATGCACGCTGGAAGATCACTCACAAAGAGACTTTGGGTCCTATTCAGGATTGGACTGAAGCTGCAATCACTACAAGGGGGACATTTATTCCTCAAGGAAAAATTGTTGGTGCAAATGAGCGCAAGCTGTACCTGTTCATAGAGGGACCCACTGAATTATCTGTCAAGAAGGCGAAATCAGAATTGAAACGTGTCCTTGAGGATTGTGCCAATCATGCTCTGAACCTTCCTGGTTCTGCCCAAACTGGAAAGTACTCTGTTATTTGAGCTGCGGATTGCTAACAGAACAGCTAATTCAGAGATGCAGGGTTTTCTTGTGAAGGTATGCGAGAAGAGAAAAAACTCATAGTCCATATATCAAATATTTATCTGCCCTTGTATGAGCACAGTAAACAAAATGTTGCTTATCAGCTCATTACTTCATTTTACCATGGCAATAGTAGTTCTATAACATTGAAGGTCGCAACTTTAAAAATATATCATAAGTATATCGGTGCTCTTTAGTGCTAATTATAGATCACCCGGTTTCCTTATTTACCACTGTATCCGTCTTTCATACTGACAGCTTGACCTCTTGCATAGCTATATGTTATGCTTGTACTGTTGATCTATAACAAATTCCTTATAGAATGTGTTTTATACCATAGGTTCGAACCACACAAAATTGATATGATACTTGAACATTCTGAACCATGCAAAATTCTGATATTCTCAATGTGACCAGGTCTTTCTTGGAAGGTGGACTGCGATTCTTGTCTTCCTTGATGACGGCGTTATCTGCAACATCCGTGCTGAGAAGCTGGATAAGTGGCAGGTTAGGGTGTTCTATGTGAAAGTTGCTGATCCACTAGGTTACAGCATCACTGAATGATCATGCCAGATTGCACACTACATATTGTAGCCTACCAAAAGACAGGCAAAGTATGTTTAAGCTGAACATCTCTTCTGTTTGGTTGGTTCAGTCATACTCCCTATTGTTGATAACTTTACCTTCTGTTCTAAAAACCTTTCAGGCCACATATTCACCAGCCAAAAAAAGAAGTCATCGTCCTAGGAGCTTGATGGAGAACCAGGCTCCTCACAACTGCGTTGCTGATAATTGCAGTTAAATTTGTTGAAATCCAAGGATTTGTTAGGCTTTTTAGGAGTGCCAATCACTCATAACAGGGATTAAAGTGAGATCGTTGTTCGTTGAGTTATACAGAACAATGAAAAGCTGTTTGAGCAAAGGCCATTAACTTGATGCAAAAAATGAAATTCGGCTAGCTTTACCTGCTTTTGATTTCATTGGCTTATATCATTTGAGGTAGCAAGTTAATGTCTAGACTCTAGAAAGCAGGTTTTCCATAACTGAATGATTCATTATGTGATAAAAACATAATTAGCTGGCACTGTTGTTTTTCATTCAAGAGATTACTCCTACAGGATTCACATTGTCGCACACAAACAAAAATCAACACTGACAACTTACAAAAATGTATAATTAAGCTATTCTGACCGTGCTTACACATGCCAGCATTTTTTTTTCGGGAATACGCAAGGAGCGCATTTTTTCCATTAAGAGAAATAAAAGTTATTTACAAAGATAAAAGGAAAACAAGCAGGGGACCGATACAGGACGCTATGGAAAACTATAGGAATATCTCGCGCTAAATTTGGCTACCACGACCTCGTAAAGGCCAAACAGCGGGGATCCCGTGATTAGCTGACTTCTAAAGCATGGCCTCCTCCGCCATTGCTTTCACCACTTCGGTCCAAGACCTTTGTTGTTGATTGAAGATTCGGTTGTTCCGTTCCTTCCAAATTGTCTAAGCCACCAGTGTCACGACAGTGTCGAAGCCTCGACGATGCCGCTCCCCAATCTTCATTTGGCTCTCACAGAGCCAATTGTGGAAGGATGGCTCATTGACAGGTAAGCAGTTCGGCCTCCTTATCGCCTGAAGCGTCCACCACCATAATTGTCTCGATTCAGGGCATGCTACCAAGATGTGATCAATGCTTTCCTCCTACTGATCGCAACGAACACAACGATCCGGGTGTGGCAACCCTCGACTGCGCAGACGGTCAGCAGTCCAGCATCTGTTCATTGCGACCAACCACAAGAAGAAGCGGCATCGAGGCGGAGCGAGTGACTTCCAAATTGGGGTGGAAAGGAAGGTGACACGACCAAAAAACAAGGCCTTATAGGCAGATTTTGAGCTGTATTGGCCCGAACTCTCCCATTTCCAGATGATTGAATCAGGAGTAGTAGGATCAAGATCCACCATTTGGACAAGCGACCAAAGCTTTAGATATTCTAGAATAGGTTGGATCCCAAGTGCTCCTCGGATGTCTTTGATCCATTGGCGACCTGTTAGTGCCTCAGCCACCGTCCGACACCGGCGCACGCGTGGTGGAATTTTATCATAGATGTTCGGAGCAAAGGACCGAATGCAACCCTCTTGCAACCAGCTATCTTCCCAGAAGAGGATAGTTTGTCCGTCTCTTAATTGACAGATGGTAGAGGCTGCAACGAAGTTCCTTTCCTTTTGCGACCCCGGAATGGCTAGCCCCTGCCAAGGTTTGCTTGAGGAGGTCCGTTGCAACCATGTCCACCTGGAACGAAGAGCTATACCCATAAGCTCCAGATTCGGTACACCCAAACCGCCGTAGTTACACATGCCAGCATCGATCACCTTTGTTGGATTTAGAGTTTACACGGACAAAGATAAGATGATACATAAAATATGATCAGTTCTCCTATAGCTTACAGTTTCATCATCATTCAAACATCTATCCATTAGCCTGCTCATTGTGCCCAATGGATCTTCTTGGCCTATTCAAAATGAAAGAAAGGTAACGACATTCACATATTAAGTTTTCAAGTTCCAACCAAGAAAGGAGATAAGAGTGCAATTAATCAGTTAACCTTTTGGTTATAGAAGTGTTCCTCTTTGTCACCTTTAAATATCTTAAGTTTGCAGATGAATAAAAACCTGTATGATTCTCAAGGAAATCTAATATATATGCAAGAACTAACACATGCAGAAGATATAATCTGGCACAAGCAGAATTCATTTTCTTTTTTCTTTTTTCTTTTTTCAAATTTCACTAACTTGCAACTTCATATTGGGGATAAAGATAAGCATAATGCTGATCGAATCAAACTCACCTGTATATATATTTATGACTCTTGAAACAGGCGTTTCTCCATGCCTCTGCTCCTGTCCAAGAACCTGACAGTGGAGATGTGCTGGACTCTCTCCTTGTCCTCACCCTGTATACGCTCCATGAACTCATCATGCATGTTCACCAGCATCAAATTCTGCAGTGACAAGAGAAGCTCAATGCCATGAGGCACCTCCTTGAGCTCAGGGAAGTTGACCAGTGCAAGCCACTGGAGGTTCTGCAACGTCTGCTGCTCCATGATCATCGAATTGATGTGCAACAAGTTGCACATGATGAGTGTGTGGAGCTTGGGGAACCATCCGCTCTGGAAGACGAAGCTTGCTCCGTCGTATGCATCTCCGATCTGGAGCACTTTCAGGTTGGAGAGGCAGGAGATGGAGATCAATGGATCAATGTTCGTCTTACTTCCTGTGAGATACAGCTTCTCCAGTTTAGCTCCAACTGTCTGAAAGAAATTGGATTCCATCACAGCATGGTGAAACCTTCCGGTAAGATGGAGTTTGCGTAAATTCTGTGGTGGTAAGCTCAGTGCTTCAAAGTTCAGACCTTGATTACCTTCAGCTGAAAGAACTTTCAGTGTGCGTAGAGAGCGCATTTTGCTGATGGATGCAAAGAGCTTGGGATAGTGTTCTTCTCCGACATCTTCGATCGCCAATGTCCTCAGTTGAGTCATGTGTCCCAAATTTTCCACAAGATTTAGGTTTGCAAGAACACCCTTAAGAGTTTGCAGCTCCATAGACTCCCACACCACCTTTGGAGCTTGAACACCTCTGGACTTCTCAACAATGCCGCAATACAGTGGAGCACTCAACTTTCCTGCAAGAAGGTGCCTTAACCTCTTCAGCTTGGCGATCCCAGTTGGCAACTTGTCTACATTTGTAAGGTAAACATCAAGTGTTTGGAGATTGAACAGCTTGTCGACTGATTGTGGCAACTGCTTGATCTTTGTTCTTCTCAAACCGAGGTACCGTAAGTTAAATAAGCCTGACAATTCTTCTGGCAGAACTGTGATAGGAACATCCTGCAGCTCCAGAACATTCAGATACCTTGCACTTCTTGGTGTACCCACAGATGGAAAAGAAGAACAGGTTACATCGAAATGGTAGAGCGAGCGGAGTCGAGAAGGATCTGAAACCGACTTGATCCTGTCATTGTGCTCATGTATCGACAAACGACGGCACCTGTATTCGGGTTCACCGGGGTGCGATTTACTATGTGTCATGCAGAAGGTCTCGTCCTCTGATATGGAAATGGCCAGCTCCCTCACAATGTCATGCATCTGGAATTCCTTCACCTTTCTGAAGTGCTTCCTCTCCACAACCTGTAGCAGGCATCGGTCTATCAGCTCATTCAGGTACTCCTCGGCGACTTCTTCTACTGTTCTTCTCTTTTCCGGCTTAATGAGGCCCTCTGCAACCCATAGTCTGACCAGCCTTTTCTTTGTTATCATGTAATCCTCTGGAAAGATGCTGCAGAACACAAATGCATTCTTTAGGTGGCTCGGTAAGTTCTTATAACTCAGTTTCAGAATCTTCATCACTGAACTCAACTCCTGGTCGCGCAATCTGTCGCGTAATTCCCAGGTTAGCTGATCATTGCACTTGCTCCACTCTTCCATATCTTGTTTCTTGAATGAGAGCATGTTACCCACAACCACAATTGCTAATGGCAAACCATCACACTTGACCATGATCTCTCTCCCCAATGACTCTAGTTCTTGAGGACAAGATCTATCAATGCGGTTCTTGAATGCCCACCTGCAAAAGAGACACCAAGAATCTGCATCATTCAGCTTTTGCAGCTGAAGAACCTGATCTTCGCTTGCCAAAGAAGCGACATCTTTGATCCGAGTCGTTATTACGACCTTATTTCCATTGTTGTTGCTTCTCTCAACTGTACTTGCCAGGTCCATCCAAACATCTGTGCTCCATACATCATCTAGTACAAGCAAAATCTTTCTATGTTCTAATGTTCTCTTCAGGATTTCTACCAGGTCTCTACCATCGATGCTATCAATGTTGGGTGAACACCGTTGCAACATGTGACGTACCATCTTCCTCATGATGTCAGAAGCGTTGAACTTCTGAGACACTGTGATCCAAATATGGCAATCAAACTGATTCTTGATTCTCTCATCTTCATAGATACTATTGGCAAGAGTGGTTTTCCCAGATCCTCCCATACCCCAGACAGTGATAACCGATGTCGAACATGTTTTTAACCAGTTCATCATCATTGTTCTTTCTTGTTCAACACCCACCATCTCATCAGCTGGGTAAGAAAGATGATGCGGAAGCCGGTGATCCTCCACATCGGTTGAAACTCTATTGCCATTTGGAAGCTGAATCTCATACTGCACCCACAAATTCCGGAGATTCTGAAGGTGACATTGCGAATCCTTCAGCTCTCTAGCAATTTTGTGCCAAGAAGTTTTACCGAGTTTACGGAAGTAACTCATGAACTCCCCATTGAAAAACCTGTTCTTGTGCTTAACAGACAGGTAAAGAAACTCATCGATGATGTCCTCAATTTCAAAAGCTGCTTTTCTTACTTCCTGCAGGTAGACTTCAGTGGGCTCGCTATAGCCTTCTTGTTTTTGCGCTTGGCGCAGGAATGCTTGCATCAACTTGAGCTCAACTTCGATCTGTTTTATTCGACTCTCAATCTCATTTATTATTGTCAAGTTTGCATCTAAACGTCCACCTAATGTTATGCTTGCAGATGATGCCAAGACAGATCCAATTTTGCATAGAGCAGCGAATACCACGCCTTCTGCCATCTTGTTTTAGCTGAACTGGTACAGGTTTTATGAAATTTGAGATTCTCAAATTGAAATAGTGATATTTTGGAACAAAAACAGTGTAGATAAATATACCTCTAGAGAAGTGATAGAACCATACCCAAAAAAAAAAGCATGAATCACACTGTAATATGTGTCAGAAGTACTGGATTTTTAATTTCTTCCATCACTGCCACATACAAATAGTATGTATTCCATGATTTAATTGTAGAAAAAGAATTAAAATCAGAATACTTTATTATTTGCCCACTAAATACACATGGTATCACTTATAGATACCCGCTAACAGAGTAATTTGTTTAAAAATGAATTGTAGCTAAAAAGGAAGTGAGCATGAAGGGGACTGGTTGCAATAAAAACAGTAAGGAGACTGTTCATTATTTTTCCTTGATAGAAGTTCTTCCATTATTCACTACCATATAGCTAGCATTCATCATCTGACAAAAAGTGGATCCCTTTAAATAAAACAGTTTTGGGTGTGACTATTATCTTGATGAGACAAACAACTGTATCAACATCGATGACAATAGAACGTTTGAACAAAGGACCAAAGGTTGGATCCCAAGACAGTAATGCCAGAATGAGGCAGAAGGATGGCAAGGAACACAAATTCTTTAGAAGAACTAACAACCTTGTGACTGTCAAATGCTCAACCTAATTGATCTTGTACAGCTCACCATGAAATAGGTATGTGCACAAAAAACAGTGGGAAACATGTGTTGCTAATTCGCTGTACACCATCAAAATTACAACATGGATTCTTCCATCCTGAACTATCTGTACATTCTAATACACTAACACACACACTCTCTCTCTCTCGTCATTTCTATTTACTTGTTTCAGTACAACTGTACAACTATACTAATTCCCAGAAGGAGGTGTTGGTCATCTTGTTCTTGGAACAACAATACCAAGACAGAAATGAATGGCATAGAAAAATAACCTTGAAAGCAAGATACATACTGCTGCTTAGTGCTTACCTCTCTTCTTCTTGTTGTTGAGAGAGGAAGCGTTCTTGACTGTTGAGAGAGGAAGTGAGTGCAGCGGCAGCCTATAAATTACTGCTGCCGACGAGAGGGTCAGCTTATCAACAGTAATTAAGACTGTGGTCGATAGTGCAAGTTGGGAACTAATCCCTCGTACACACCAGCAAAATGAAACGACTCATTAGCGTACGATTAATTTAAAATTAATTTTAAAAAACTTAAAAATGAATTAATAAAAATTTTAAAGAAACTTTTCTATATATTTATTTTTATAAAATACGCACCGTTTTATAGTTTGTAAAGTGTATGAAAAATGAGGTAGCCGAAGTTGAAAATGGTGAGTATCGAACACACCCTAAACTAATTATCGTCTATTTCTTGAGTCATGCTGTCCTTTTTTTTTTGGATTACAGACGTGTGCACACACCACTATAGTTCGTGAAGTGATCCATATAGATAGGACTAAAAAAGAGATTTTAACTATAGCAATCTTCACAATGTATATAGATACAAGATAGCATTAGGAGATGAGAGAGAAATATAGATAGATAATATTATTTATTCCATATAGGTAGTCCATATATGCTTATGGATACCTTTTGTTATTTTCTCTATATGGACTAGTTGCACAAAAGTAATAGGTAGCTGAATGGAATATAATATTGCCTATGGACTACTTTTGCTTCGTGTTGTGGATACCCTAAACACGCGCCACATATTCTTACATCCGTAATGCACTTCCTAACATACGTTTTGAAATAGACATAGACCCATAGCACATCCCTAACCTCGGTTCAAGAAACCAGTTGAGGTTCTCAAGAGGTAAACGGATCATTATATTACTAAAGATCATTCATGGTGCTCGGCATTCATGGCACAAAAAACTGCAAACCTTACCTCAAACATAGTTCCATTTCTATAGGCCTACTGTTTGTTTGGAACATAGGAATATAATACTCCTAATATTTATTATACAGAAATTTCACATAAAAGGTTCAATTGCCGTATGCATGACAACATTATCATGTATAATTTGTACCTTAGTGTAATGTATTTTAAATTATATGGGAGGTAATTATCAGAAATACTATCACGGTACTATGGTTTTATAAACTTTTCGATCATGGAAAAAAATTAAGAATATACAAGTATACAACATTTGTTAACTTTGAAAAGCAACAAAAACATAACTTCTCTTGCATTTTTTTGGGTATTTTGTTGGGATATATCCACTGCCATTGTATTACTCAAGTCAAGATAGCTACACCAACTGATTGTTTTGATCCCTCCTATATTAATACACTTTTTTATTGTGTGATTCTATATTAATAAATTTTGTTGTCAAATTAACAGTGGTGTGAATTCATCAAACTCTGACATGTCTGACTGTCATTAGAGAGGGTTGAAATTCATGGCAATCAAGAATTCAAGTGTGGTATGAACGCAAGTCCAGCTCAACTTGACTTGAGCAAGACTTGAAAGAAATCAAGTTTTCAAGAAGAATTCAAAGTCAGTCCATTGCAAATTGATCCAATAAAAGATGGGAAGAAAACACAAGCAAGAAACAAAACAAATAAACAACATAACATCACAGTCAAAGTCTACAAGCTTGACTTATTCTAAACAAAATGTGAATATTTTTTTTCAACAAATATTTTTTTCCATGGAGACAGTACGCCATGCCTACTAATTTTATCACCTCTTTATACAATAGTTATCTATACTACACTTATCATACACACATTGTGTCTACAAATCTGTAGCCCGCTACTCCTATCTCTCCTCTTTGATCTTCTCGAAATGTCTTTATAGCTGGCTTATAGTTTGTTATTATACCTGCTCTGACATGTGCATCTAGCGCCTAAACGTCAATGAGTATTAGAGACAAATACTGGATCACATAATCTTTTTGGAAATTAAGGAACTGCCCCTTTTATTAAGGGGCAGTTGCCTAAACACAAATACATTTTTTTTAACAATTGGATCCATGTACTGATCCCTATTAAACAAAAAATCAATCAATTGCAATGGAAAAGTAAACTGCCCTCAAGCAATGAAGCAATCGATAAACAGTTCATTGACTTGTTCATCTGATCACAAGGACATGCAATACCCCCAATACATCTGCTTCTGTTGCTACAGGGCTTGAAGCTATAGCTTTCATTTGGCAGGCTCAGTTCCAAGTGCATTTGGACAAAAAAACAGCCTTGCCAGTACTTTTGTTCCTCGATACAACAACAGGCATCTGATATAACTTTTGGTTCCGTCTATGCCTCCATGGCAGTTAGTACTACCTTGGGCATACACAACTTACTGCATCTATCATCTATGGATATGTGCGATGTCACAAGAGGTGTGTATCTCAGCTGTCATCTTTTTTACCCAATTGGCTGAAAGCAGCTTGATCTCTGAGAGCTTGATTCCGGCCAGGGGAAGTTAACTTTTTTTAGATAAAGAGAGTTTTATTGATCTTAAACAATTACATCGAGAGGATACAATTTTTCTAAGACCACCCTCGGCCTCTGCATAGCTAGGATGCACACAGCCTATCAATATTATAAAAGAAAAGGAAAAAAAGCGACACAACTATTACAACCGTGCCACAGCGAACTACAACCACAAGTAATCTTCATCTCTTATCTCCACCAAAACAACACTTAGACTATCATACGGACTCCCTTTAAAACAATGCCTCCAATGAGGAAATGACGCGTGCACGCGTCATCATTGTCATGTTCCAATCAACTAAGATCAGACCATAGGTTTTCACCTAGGGAAATTCTGTGAACTCCAGACAATGCCTTCAAGAAAGAAAGAAATCCATTGCCAAGTACAACCAATTAAGGTCAGACTTAGGGATTTAACCCCGGACTTAAAGAATTAGTAACAAGTACCGCCTGAATGAAGCCACTAGTATTGTTGCCCCCTCATTCCGAGACAGAACCTCCATATCCCAAACTTAACAGAATCACAAAAGGCCACGAACATCATTACCTGCATCCTTCTATAGATACCCTTTGAAGATAATGTCGCGAGAAGCCAAAAAGGCACACGCCCAAAATCCATATCTAGAAAGAGTATGTTGTTCAGTCAGGTATCTACTAGCTTCCGACAAATTGTCATCCCGTCCCCGATTGGCACCTGCAAGTCTCCCAAGAAAACATAGTACCATTGTCAACTAAAAAAATAGAGTCAGAGAAGTGATAAAATTAGAAGGCATGGGGTACTGTCTCCATGGAACCATGGTATAAGTATATCACATGAAAATCAAGTAACAAATATTATGGTTGTCACTTGCATCATACTGTTTTCTTCTCACTGAAGTTGTACAAAAAACTGAACATGGTGCTCAAAAGAAAGTTCGGATAAAAGGAGTTATATAGATTTTGGAGCAAATTGATAATTAAAAAGATAGCAAATAGGACTAAACACATTCATGGTATATGTGATCCTGGCTCAAATATGCCACAACATTAGGCAAATAAAACTTCCAGACTTGGGATATGTATTGCGCTTCACTGCGGTACTGCTACACATCAGTGCCAGGACTGAGTTCTCTTCACAAGCTTTAACGGTCAATATACTTGTGCAGGCATATAAATAATTTTCTAAGTCTTTGCAGTAAACACTTGCAAGTAATGACAAATCTAGGCGATAGATAAAAAAATATGAGAGGTGGTGAGAGAAAGAGACCATGCTGATGCTGACACGATTATCCTCCAGAAGTTTCTTGTTGAAGTTCCTTATACTAATTGTCTTTCGATCATTCACCTAAGGAAAAATGTGCCAGATAATTTCCTAAAAAATCAGGAAAGAGTGATCCACTTTCTACCATATAGCTTCTATGTCATGTCAAAACTAAAAAAGGGAAAAAAGACTCACTAGTGGATCAGCAACTCTACCATACCAAAGGACATTGTCTATTACAATCAAACCACCAACTCTTACCTGCAACACAACAAAACATAATGCTCAACATACAGATTATAATCAAAACATGTAAGTTATGGTTGCTACATACATGGAACTTATAAATAGGATCATAAAACTTGCAGCAAATCTTCTATAATGTTATAAAAAAGTTATGATCATTGATGACAGTTGACAGACCACAATTGCTATAAGCAAGAAAGGGTTCTATGTAATCTTACTAGCTTAAGTAGAAGTTCATAATACTCCTCATACATTCTCTTGTCTGCATCAACGAATGCAAAGTCATAACTAGAAAAGGTAGAAGAGACAAGATTTGTTAGACCAACTAAGATGTTCAATGATGGATTATACCACAATAAAATTACTGTACCTGTTAACCTCACCACCATCAATTAGTAACTTTAGGGAATCCGCAGCTAAAGCATGTTTGACATCAACCTAAGGAATTAGGTGATAGATCAGCCCAAGAAATTCATCATGATCCAGAACCCATCAAGCAAAAAGAGGCGATCACCTTGTGTGCAACACCAGAGCGCTGATAGTATTTCTTGGCAACTTCTAGGCATCTTTCATCCCTCTCACAAGCAACCAAACGACCTGATTCAGGAAGAGCTAGTGCTACAGCTAACGACGAATATCCCTGTGCAAAGATTAAACGAATGCTATAATGAAGTTATTGAATTTGCAGAAATCAGTGGCTTTCTACAAAAGTAGCTAATTCACAAGGTTTTGATTGCAATTTGTAGCACTTGAGATAACATGTACCGTGTGGATTATTAATTTATTATTGTACCAGACAGGAAAGACTGCTTGATGATGAAAGGAAAACATATGCAAGAATCAAGCCTCAGTACTACCAGAAGGCTTGTTGCATATAGGATTCAAACGTTGTAGTGCTTGCTTATTATGGTATAGTTTCCAGGGAAAACAACAGATACACGAGTTCTCACAAATATATTGTTAACCAGCTGGAGTTTATTTCTCATTTTGATCAACCATCATGCTTTGGTTCTGACAAGAAACAATAACTTTCTAATGTTGCGTTTTTACTTACCTAGAGTGGAAATATGAATAATTTATAATACAAAACAAAGTAACAAACACTAGGTCAGATCACATACTGTATAGACTCCGACTTCAATGCATCGTTGAGCCCCAAGAATTTGCGCAAGCATTGCTAGAAGCTGAGCCTGCGCAGGTGAAACCTAACAAGACAAAGAAACCAGCTGAGAGTGTATATATTGTAACTGATTTCCGAAACATCTCTAAACAGTATCATTGCACTTTCAGAAATAAAAGTAATCATGTATGAAGTGGCTTCATTGGACCAATGTTACCTTGAAAAAGATTAGGACTAATTTTATAGGGGAAAATGGTAAATGAGCTCTCTAAGAAGAGTAGCCAAGTTTATCCATGGCACGCACCTGCATTTGGCTCCCTCTCATGGCCGCCGTCTCCTCACGAAGCTCCTTGAGAACCTGATGCATTTTTCCAGCACGGGATAAAACGGAAGCACACATTGGCAAGAGAGCATGACGCGAATTCCGCACCCCAAAATGGCGGCAAAATTTGCTCGAGACGAACCAAGCAGAGAGCGGAGGGAGGGAGACACGCACCGGGTGCTCGCGGACGTTGGCGAGGAGGTACTCGTAGAGCTGCGTCGTCGCGCCCAGCTGCTTCCGCCCCTGCCGCGCCTCCTCCACCGCCGCCGCCGTAGCAGCCGCAGCCGCCGCCGACGAGGAGGAGGAGGAGGAGGAGCAGAGGTGTCGGCGGTGCCATGGGCAAGTGGAGGCGGTCAGGGCTAGCGCTCGGGGGACACGAGTGGTGGCGGCGGAGCCGAACCTGAGAGCCGCAGCCTGCGCCGCCGCGGCCGCCGCCGTCGCCGGCGCCGGCGGCGGGAGGGAGGAGGCGGAGGCGAAGCGGTGCATCGCGGTGGAGACGCGGATTAGCTTGGCGTCGACGAGGCCCCACATGTCAGTGAGGCAACCACGCACGCAAAAGGCCCAATAAGTATGTGAGAATTAATGGGCTGTCTCTTCTTTTTTTTTTCTTTCCCAGCCCATGTCAAAAGCCCAACAAGCCCATGTTAAAAAATTTGCTTTCGCACAGCTGAATGAGGTCTCCTTAAATAAAAAAAATAAACTACAAAACCTCTAAAATGTTATAATGAGTACATTCCTCATGTAAGATGATTTGTTGCAAATACTAACAACAAACTAGACATACTGAGGGCTTCAAACATTGCTACTTACCAAATTTTGGTATTTCTAGAAGCTTTCTCTCTTAAAACACTACGTAAAATTTGGTAATACCAAAATGCGCAAAAAAATTTAGCATTATCAAATTTGGTATGGTTAATTTGAGCATCAAAGTGAACAAGCCTTTAATTCACCATGGACTGATTTGGCTCTTTCGGTATGTAGGTATGATTTGTCTCCTGTGATTAATATAGTTTATAAAATAATAAAAATGCTTTTGCTTGTAATATGAAGTTTGGTTTGTATTACTTCTACGCAATAAGTTTAGTTTGTATTCCTAAGCGCATAAGGAATTAGATTGTTTTCAAACATTCAAAAAAAAGTTGCAATTTGAGTTTTCTCATTGGTATCTAATTAGCAACAATATAATAATTCTTTTTCATATTACCTTAGTATATCTTGATTTTCATTACAAAATATAACCGTAGCGTTAGTACGGGCATATTACTAGTCTCTCTTAGTTGACACGGTCAAACCGGTCATCAGCAGAGTCCCATGGGAGCACTTTACCTCGTTAAGCTCTTAGGCTGCTTGCCAGTGTCCGGGTTCGGAAAGCTTGCCTCCAGCATGGAAAACGGAGCGATCCATTAGCGTGTGATTAATTAAGTATTAGCTATTTTTTTCAAAAATGGAACAATATGATTTTTTTAAACAACTTTAGTATAGAAACTTTTTACAAAAACACACCGAAATAGCAGTTTGAAAAGCGTGCGCGTGAAAATCGAGACAAGAGAGTTCCCAACCTAGACTCTCGAACGCAGGGCGTTGTTAAGCTGTGTTTGGAAGGAGGGGTTGGTTAGGGAACCCTCCTCTCCGCCACATATAACTACACTTCTTAGCATATAATTAATTAAGTATTAGTTTAAAAGTTGAAAAATTGATTCATATGATTTTTAAAGCAACTTTTCTATAGAACTTTTTTTTAAAATACACACCGTAGAATAGTTTGGAAAATGTACATACGAGAATAACGAGAGATAAGTTGAAAAAGAAGGGGAAGAACGTAGCCAACAGGCCAGGGTTGCTATGTTCACCCCGACCGGACACTCGGACAGGATAATATGGTCATGTTATCCCTGGTCGTTGCACCCACATGTACACAACCACACTGAGCTCACACACCCGTGTTGCGCCCTAAAATTTATACGCTAAAAAAATACATATTAGTTGTAAATCTATAGCCCTAGATTATTAAAATAGGAGTACAATTATTAAAATAGGATATGATTTATCCTATCGTTATTATTTAGATTACTTAAAATATTTTGTTAGTTTTATTAAATAATGTTTGATATTAACTGTTCCTCTTTAGCAGCGCTGTTCCAAACGAAACATGTACGTACCTGGCTCATTGTGACGTGATGGTCGGAACTAGGAAGATGCTATGCCTTAATTCCTAGAAGGAGACATAATCAGAATTGCAGTTCAGCAATAATATTCCCAACAGGAATATGTTGCATTGCAAAAGATTTTCTTAATTTTCAAAAAGCATGCACCCATATGCTGTTTACGACATACTACATCCGACCAACCATTCGACTTATTTACATTTGCATTAATTTATCTGTTGTGATTTATATTATTATTTAAAGGTATTTTAAGCACAAGCTTATATATATATTTACTAATGTATTGAATATTTTTAATAGAACAAATGATCAAAATTATGTCAAATATCAACAGTATCATATAATTAAAACGGGAGATCAATTCTCTACTTTAGATTAAACCACAAGAAAAGAAAATATATATATAGAATACTAACTCTAGTTTCTAATAGATAATGTCGTTGACTTTTTGTCACACGTTTAACCATTTATCTTATTCAAAAAATTTACATAATTATAATTTATTTTGTTATGAATTGTTTTATCACTTAAAGTACTTTAAGCATGATTTTATATCTTATATATTTGTATAAATTTTTTAAATAAGATGAATTGCTAAAATATGTTTAAAAGATAATGTTATCTGTTAAAATACGAAGGGGCATGAGATATGTGAACACGCAAATTTTGGTCGTCACTTCAATTGATTGAAAGGGTCCTAGTACACTGATTGATAAGGCAATATCTTTGGATCACAGTAATAATATAGATGCTCTATCAACCTTAGCTAGATCCTGGACAAGAGATTTTAGTTTGGCCAAAATGGAATATAATTAAATTGTCCAAAGTACTCGTCATTTACTTGTACAAATCATGTTGCATACACCACACGTACAAAACATATATTCTCCTGATAAAAAAAAGTATAGTATCAGATGCGATCTCTCAGAAGACAACACATATCTATACTCTTCTTTTTTTTAAAAAAAAACCTTAAGTGATGCTGGTGAGTGATAAATTTGCTGCCATCTACTCCTATTATACCACCTAATATATGGATTTCACTTAATTAAGAGTGATTAATTCATGCGGATTGTTCATTTCCAAGCTTAAGAAAGGGAAAAAAACATATATTCAACCTATTCCTTGTAAAACATGGGTGTTTAAGCTAGTATCTCAGGAAAATAATTAACCCTTCTCTTGGCTACCAGATTAACAAATTGAGTTTTTTTTCTTAAGTAAATGAAGAGTACTTTGGACAATTTATACAAGTAAATGACGAGTACTTTGGACAAATTTAATTAACCCTTCTCTTGGCTACCAGATTGACTTTGATAAATAACAAATTGACTTTGATAACCATGCATTGACACGCATTTGATCATGATTGACCAGTGCCATTTTAATTAAGCCTTCTAAACAAGTAGAGGATTAGTCGTATTTGTATTCTTCCTGCAGGGTAATCGTGCCGTGCATCGGTGCATGGACGACCAAGTACAGCAGTGTGTACGGTGGATATGATGCAAAAGTCAAACAATGCAGCGAGTATTATTTAATTTAATTGCTAGTAGTAATTAATAAATAATAATCCTCACTAGTACAAAGCACCTAGATATACAGTCAACGCACATGCACTTCATATACCTCAATTCAATGCATGCATACGCTTAGATCTAGCCTGTTCGAGATAGGTGTTAGTTTAGCTAACGTCACCTCCAAAGAAAAAAAAAGAGAAAGGTCCTGGATTCATATGTAGCCAAAATTATTTTGTAAAATTTAGTCCTATATCTTTACTGATATTATGTTGAATAAGAAAACATAAGTTATTTCTTTACTTATATTATTGCACCGCCTAATATATAGATATATCAAAATTATTTAGTATAATAGTACATGTGGAGCTCAAAAGTTATTTCTTTACTTATATTATTGCACCGCCTAATATATAGATATATCAAAATTATTTAGTATAATAGTACATGTGGAGCTCAAAAGTTATTTCTTTACTTATATTATTGCACCGCCTATAATATATAGATATATCAAATATACATTATTAGTTTCCCTAAAAAGATATACATTATTAGTGAATATATACTCTTAGCAGCATGATTATTCATTCGCAAACGTTAACCTTTGGTTTGTAGAAAAAATAAATTACAAATAACTAAAAGCATTTCATGCATAATATTATCGAAGCATACTAACATATATAAGTATGAAATTAATTAACTTTCGCTCATTCAGAAAAGAAGAAGGTAGTAGTCAATGCCACCAGCTAATAGAAAATGGAGGAAACATGAATTAAATCATGTTCAAGAAATCGATGGCACCCATAGCTAGAAAACACACAAGAAATGTAAGATTTAAAAACGCCAATGGAAAAAAAATGCCATGACAAAAGTTAGGCATGCCATTAAGCAAGTGTAGTTTGGTTCATCGCAACTGTGGTTTTACCACACTTTTGCCTACTACATGTAATGTGAAGGATGAAACAAAACACGATATTATATACTGCAAGATAATTACGTCCAATTTAAGAATAATTTTGAAACACAAAAAACAAATTTTAGGTGTTTCTCCTGAATGGAACACGTGTACGGCAGGCAAATTTGAAGTCGTCTATATCCATTGACACGTAACGTAGTCAACTTCAATATAAATTAACTGGTATATATACACACTTTAATTAAAGTATAAATTATCGTACCCATACAAATCAGGTTTCTGTATGTCTTTATGTAGACGTGGGCAATGACAATAACAGGAAATGGATCATTCTACGCAGCGAGAAATATACCATCCATCCATGCATGGTTACACGCATATATTGTGTTGTTCCATTTAAAATTAATTAGGGCATGTTTAGATCCATTTGGAATGACAAAAGTTTTGGTGACAAAAGTTTTGGCATTGTAAAAGTACTAGTTGGTGTTTAGATGCATGTTAAAGTTTTACCATTCTAGCACTAAAGTGAGAGAGAAAGAGAGTGGGAGTGGTCCCAAAGCACTTTTTGGCACAATTTGCTACTATGGACTAGCAAATGCCAAATTGCCAACTTTTGCTACTAGTGTTTAGATCCAAAATGGCAAAAAATACTACAAAATGGCAAAACTTTTGCCATTTTGGAGGATCTAAACAGGGCCTTGGACGCTGAGTGTGGTAGCTAGACACTATTTCCTCCGTTTCATATTATAAGACTTTTTAGCATTGTCTATATTCATATATATGTTAATGAATCTAGACATATATGTGTGCCTAAATTTATTAACATCTATATGAATGTGTGTAATACTAAAAAAAATCTTATAGCCTGAAACGGAGATAGTAATTAGTTTGCACACATGATCTTTACTGGATGGAAATTGAGAATCTTTGACCTTAGGATCACCAACCAAATAAATGCTATCTTCACTCCGTTGAATTTTTTCAGGCTGTTTAATTTACACACACCTCATAAATTTAGTACTCGATCTATTATTCCCTCTGTCTCTGAGACGTATTCTGTTTTATTATAGGAGAAGATTCTTACCAATAATTACTCTATTATAATATCACTTATATAATATATAATTATAATCATACGTATTTTTAATATGAATGTAAATATAATTAATTTATAAAAAAATTAGTAGAGTAATCATTGACCAAAGTCTTATCCTAACAAAAATAAAATACTCCACATATTTTCAAACGGAGGGAGCAATAGATTTACAGAAAAAAAATAGTATCCAGCATATTCAATATTGAGTATATATTTGCCGCAATGCAACTAGAAAAGTAATTCAAACGGCCATCAACCAATCATTGAGATCAGAAACAAACATAACTGTGAACGACTAGCTGAATTAGTTAGGTTCTTGGAGTAGAATTTGTCCACCTAGATTCAAGTATTTTACCGATTTAGTATAACTGTTCACATTTACAGCTAGTTATTATTTCAATATTAGATAATATGTCTGTTGATATTTAAATATCTTTGGTAACTTTCAACAATCTCAAAATCACCGGTCTAATCTCTCGAAGCTGGAGCTGCTCATACTGAGCAGTGTGCGCATGTGTATATATGAGATTCTACGCGCGCATGCCCGCTGGGATTGTGCTTTAGAGAAAAAGAAACAATATGACCATCAAATTTACTATAAATGATTGTTTATTTAAGCGTACATTGATACCGTGTTTTGAAAAAAACCAATATAAGTAGGGGTGTAAGTGGCTAACCCGCGAAACTTACTTATAGGCTAAAATAAGCCGTGAACCCGCTTATTTTAATATATAAGTGGGTTCGCGGCTCACCCACTTACACCCCTATAACCACCAATCTATCTTGTGACTTCTCATACTAGCGGTTGCACCTTCCAGCTCACATGATGTGCATGCGAATAGAATGTGCCATGAGTTGGACATTTTCCCATCATGGATCAACTTCTGAGGTTTATAACGTGTGCAATGACGACGACATGGACGCAGAAAACGCATATTTTCTCTGTTTTTTCAAAGGGGAAAAGAAAATCATGGATGATGAAGACTTGCAATGTTGCGTGCATGCGCGAATGCAGAGAGGCACTACTATAGTTCATTGTTGTGGCTATCTACATAGTACTCCCTCCGTATTTTAATGTATGACGCTGTTGACTTTCGACCTACGTTTGACCATTCGTTTTATTCAATTTTTTTTAGTAAATATAAAAATACTTATGTCATGCTTAAAGAATATTTGATGATGAATCAAGTCACATTAAAATAAATAATAATTACATAAATTTTTTGAATAAAACGAATGATCAAACGTTGGAAAAAAGTCAACGACTTCGTACATTAAAATATGGAGGTAGTAGCAAAGTCCACTCTTTTGTTAGCTACAACACGTGGCCAGCATCGACGTAGATGGTGAATCCTCGGCCTAGGATCACGGACCAAATTTAATGGTGTATCTGGACTTTGAGTGATTCCATTTGCACCTGTATATTTATTTGTTTTAGAACGTTGTGCAGTGCGGTCAAAACCTAAAAATGCTTTGGTATAGCACAGTAAAAAATATATTATTATTTATAAATAAAAGACAAAGGTCAAATGGATTGAAAAATACTCCCTCCATTCCATAATATAAGGCACAACCATTTTTCTTAGATGTTTTATAATATAAGGCATGCATGCAAGTATGCAATTAACCATGACATCTTCTGCATTAAATTATTATTTTTAAAATCATCCACTTCCAATTATTATATTTATTATGATGATCCAAACTATAAGATGATAATAATTATTTTTTAGTATTTTAGTTAAAGTGGTTGTGCCTTATATTTTGGAACGGAGAGAGGATCAGATAATAAAGTAGAAGTACACAGTAAAAGAAGAGACAAAGGTGAAAGGTGGATCGAGAGCACTCGAAGCGCGCGAGACAATTAAACGGGTCGAATTTGTCACCATATAGTACACGTCTCTTCTCCCATCATAAATACTCCACACAGTCCACTACTTCTCCTCGTCGTCTCCCTCGCCGCCGGCCGCCGGCGAACCCAAGATTTCAGTTCAGACGAGCACCAGCCGCCGCCGCCGTGATGATGAAGAAGACATCCAAGGAGCTGGACTACGTGCTGGTGCCGATGGGGATGGCGGTGATGGTGGCGTACCACGCGTGGCTCCTCCTCCGCATCCGGCGGCGCCCGGCGACCACCGTGATCGGCATCAACGCCATCAACCGCCGCATATGGGTGCGCCACGTCATGGAGGAGGCGTCCGGGAAGCACGCCGTGCTGGCGGTGCAGACCATGCGCAACAGCATCATGGCCTCCACCGTCCTCGCCTCCGTCGCCATCACCCTCAGCTCCCTCGTCGCCGCGCTCATGGCCAGCGGCGTCGCCCACGGCATCTTCTCCCCCGGCGCCGGCGACGGCCAGGGCGAGATCGTCGTCGGCGCCGGCGGCGAGACGGCGCTGTCGATCAAGTTCTTCGCCATCCTCGTCTGCTTCCTCGTCGCCTTCCTCCTCAACGTCCAGTCCATCCGCTACTACAGCCACACCGGCATCCTCGTCAACGTGCCGCTCCACGCGCACCGCCACCGCCGCCGCCGACCGGGGCTCGCCGTCGACTACGTGACGGCGACGCTCAACCGCGGCAGCTACTTCTGGTCCCTCGGCGTCCGCGCCTTCTACTTCTCGTGCCCCGTCTTCCTCTGGCTCTTCGGCCCCATCCCCATGTTCGCCTCCTGCCTCGCCATGGTCTGCGCGCTCTACTTCCTCGACGTGTACACCGAGTGGGACGAGAAGCCGGAGGAGGAAGAGGAGCTCAACGGCAATGGCGATGGCGACGACGGCGGCGCCGCCGCGTGCCATGAACAACCCAAGATGGCCGCCGGCAACAGGGTGACGCCTCAGCAAGACGTCGTCTGAAAACTGAAACTCTGAAGGTGTTTGTTGCCTGTGCCTGCATGCAGGTGATCTGGATTCAGCAGCTCGTTGAATCAAGATTAATAATTAGTTTATGTACTTTGGTATAAATAAAATCGCCGTGCCTAGGATTCAATATCTCGTTGAATCCTAGATTTGTCGCGACAAATTCGCATAAAAAATGCTTTGAATTGATGTTAAGTATGAATGCCCTACTTCTTTCATGATGATAATACTTATTGCTTTGGACAAAGATATAATCAGACTCTAAAAACTTTGACTATAAATAACATTATAGAAAACTATATGTGTCTTAAAAAGTATTTCAATAAAATCATATATTTATTAATATTTCTATATATATTGTAACAAAAAATAGTGGTCAATTGTCTTTATTGTGTTTTTCCCAAAATTATAAGTATTATCGAGTCTGAGGGAGTAATTTGGTTCTACAAATGGTCTCAGATTTTTAATTACTTCTTAGTACCAGTTAGGACCTTCTTCGATCATGTTTCTACGACACAAGTCAGTGACTTCATGAATACTGTTTTTATAGCTGGTAGTATTATATCTTGTGAAAAGTCAATTACGTTATGTCGTATATAAGATAATAGGAGAATATACACATGCATGTTGTTATTTTCTCAGAAAACAAACTGAAAGGGAACTGCAAACCTCAGACCATCAAGTTCAGACTTCAGAAAGCTCTATAGATAAGTACTTCATCCGTTTCTAAATATTTAACCCCGTTAATTTTTTAAGTACATGTTTGACCGTTCGTCTTATTAAAAAACTTTTATGAAACATGCAAAACTACATGTATACATATAAGTATATTTAACAATGAATCAAATGATAGGAAAAAAATTAATAATTACTTAATTTTTTTAATAAGATGTACAGTTAAACATATTTTAAAAAGTCAACGGCGTCAAATATTTAGAAACGGAGGGAGTATATTCTTAATGAGACGACAAAATGACTAAACACACCTCACTACCATGCAGCAATTATATAGTAGTACTACTCTTAAAGAAATGAAGGGAGAGAAAATAATACCTTTTGTTTTTCTGGATGATGTATCCTCCGGCATCTTTTTTTATTTTTTTGAAAACTATTCTCCAGCCTCCTGAATCTCGTATGACATTAATGATACCCTTCTCACCTTCTGTACTCTGCAAATGATGCTGAATGCTAGCCTGCAGTAATGTGAATTCTTCAGAAATTTAATTTACATCTAGATTATCGAGTCAATTATATAGACCTGTTTGGCATAGCTGCTCTAGCTCCAGCTTCTAGCCAAACAGTTTCAGCTTCACCTAAAATGAGAGCGGAGCTGGGTGGACTGGTGGAGTGCTATCACAAAATGAACTAGAGAGGTGGAGCTGTAACTCCACTCCAAACTCAACTCTTGGAGTTAAATTTTAGAGTTAATTGGAGCTCTACCAAATAGACGCATAGTTATTGAATTCAAAATGCGCAAAAATTAGGATAAACCTGTTCAGTTCCAGGCTTCCAGCGTTGCGTGATGTACATCATTTGTGGACCTCTGCAGCTGCCATTGTGCAACATGACTTGCAAAGTGTATTACACTCACAAGTTTGTGTGTGAGTACCGAACTCCATCGACAAAACACAAAACATGTCAATAAATTGCCGTGTTTCCTTATGAACAACACATGTACGGTGGGGAAAAAAATTTAAGGTGATCTACATCGATTGGCAAGTTAACATGGTACAAAATTACTGGAGTGCTAACTGATACATTATAATACCTTAATTTTTTAAGTTATATAAATAAATTGAAGTGGCAGAACTAATTTGTATACGTGGGCAACTAATTACTCTATTCCGAAATATAGCATGCATATACGTACCTGAATCCCTTTCTACCCATCCTTTTAGAATCTTTCGGTAGATGCAGAGTGTGGTAGACGCTACCCACATGGCGTCTAACAGTCGATCTGAAATAGCCAATTAATCTTTTGACCAAGGATCACGAACCAAACAAGTGATGATACCAAAAGAACATCTCATCAGAGATAGAGAATTAAAGCGAGAGCAAACTTGCATCGCTCTGGTTTGTTCACAGGGCGCGGCCGTTTAGAGTGCTCCTTTTGCGAAAATAATATCAGCAGAGATCATCAGTATGACATTTAAAAACTTCATTCATTCGGCGTTGTAATAATTTCAATCATCTTTAGTTATATTAGTTAGCTAGGATATCTGGATATGTATTGAATATGATCAGAAAAGCAACTCAAGCACTAGCACGATACCCAAACAAACCATCGATTAGATCTTGCAAGAACCACAGCACCATCAATTCATCATCCAATTCGAGAAATAAGCCAGACGGCATATTCATAAACGAAAAATAATTTATGAATAAAACTTTGATATACTCCCTCCGTACTCGTAAAGGAAGTCGTTTTGGACAGCGGCACGGTCTCCAAAACATAACTTTGACTTCTTGTTTCTATAAAAAATATTTATTGAAAAGTGATATATATATATATATATATATATATATATATATATATATATATATATATATATACTTTTATGAAAGTATTTTTCAAGACAAATCTATTCATATAATTTTTATATTTTTAAGCTCATCAATTCATGATTTATATTTCTAAGGTTTGACTTAAACATTATTCTAAACGACTTTCTTTACTAATACAGAGGGAGTACATGTTTTTAATGATCTAAAATTAAAAGCTGAAAAATAAACTATAATAAAAAAAACTTTAAAATCAACTTCAAATTTAAGATTGATAATTCAAATTTTAGCCGATAAGTATAAGCATATGAAAAAAGATGACACCATAATAGAGATGTACAGTTTATTACAGCACATCGATCTCACAACCGCTAACTTGGCATGTCTCTGTATGTGTACTCTATATATTGTTTTTTTAGAACTACTCTATATATTGGTTAGCTAGCTAGCGAGTACCATATCTCAGCTGCCATTGCCACCCACTTAATTTGCATGCCTATGGAGTGACAGATAACATTACAATCTGCATTGTGGAACTTTCCACTTTTCAGAATTTTGCATGACCGTTCAAATGGCATATGTAAGATGATGAATCTACACGCATGCAATTGGATTCTCGAATACTTAACTACTCCATTTGTCTCATTTTAAGTACACTTGTGAGTTTCCGTGTCCAATATATCCGTTATATTTGAAATTTATTTATGATTAACATTTTTGTTATTATTAGATAATAAAACATAAATAGTACACTTTATGTGTGACTTATTTTTTTAATTTTCTTTATGTTTTTATTAAATAAAACGAACGGTCAAACGTTGGATACGAAAATCCAGAACTGCACTTAAATAAAATTGTGACAAAGGGAGTACTTCCCAACTTAACTCAAATTGGAGAATAACGTGTGTAATGACGACAGCAACAACATTCGCGTTTATAAATCTAATTAAACAGCGGGCTAGCTAGCCAGCACAAACCCCTGCGCATGTGGCCAGCACCAACGTACAAGGTACTTTGAGTTTTCAAACGTGGGAAGCACTTGATCGAAAGAATTAATTTAATTAAGCACGATACATATGATGGTCGATCGAGTTCTGTCACCATGTATCTAGACATGTTTTACGACCACGTACACGCTTAGCCAGGGTTCACACTTTAGAATCACACCGAAATTTCGGTAGTTTCGGTGTGACCGAAATTTCATGATTTCCAAACTCTTTTGCACGAAATTATTTGAAATATTAACAGATTGTAACTCTGGATTTGAATATATTTTAACCAAATTTAACAAAAAAATTGAAAAAAAAAACCCCAAATATTGACAGAGTTGCTCGCTGGTGGGCAGGGTTAGAAATTCCGGAATGGAATTTCCGGAATTTCAGTCATTTCGGACTCCTTATACGATATTATTTTAGCCAAAATTTTTATCTTTTTTACTTTTTCGTGAAGTTGGTAATATTTTGTTTAAATTTGACCAATATTTATTTAAAAACCGAAAAATTAAACCCTGCCAGTGAGTCCCAAATTACCGAAAATTCAATCTGGCGATCAGCTCCCCCTGCATATAAATACTACCCAGTCCAACGTTGTCCGGCCACTACCGTTGTGCATGCTTGTGTCGTCAACGACGGCGACTAGCAGTAGCAGTAGAGAGTGGCAGTGAGATCAGAAGAGATCGATCCATGAAGCAGCTGGACTACGTGCTGGTGCCGATGGGGATGGCGGTGATGGTGGCGTACCACGCGTGGCTCCTCCTCCGCATCCGGCGGCGCCCGGCGACCACCGTGATCGGCATCAACGCCATCAACCGCCGCATCTGGGTGCGCCACGTCATGGAGGAGCCGTCGGGGAAGCACGCCGTGCTGGCGGTGCAGACCATGCGCAACAGCATCATGGCCTCCACCGTACTCGCCTCCGTCGCCATCACCCTCAGCTCCCTCGTCGCCGCGCTCATGGCCAGCGGCGTCGCCCACGGCATCTTCGTCTCCTCCGGCCACGCCGTCGTCGGCGGCGGCGTCGCCGGAGAGGCCGAGCTGTCCGTCAAGTTCTTCGCCATCCTCGTCTGCTTCCTCCTCGCCTTCCTCCTCAACGTGCAGTCCATCCGGTACTACAGCCACACCGGCCTCCTCGTCAACGTGCCGCTCCACGCGCACCGCCACCGCCGCCGCCGCCCGGGGCTCGCCGTCGACTACGTGACGGCGACGCTCAACCGCGGCAGCTACTTCTGGTCCCTCGGCGTCCGCGCCTTCTACTTCTCGTGCCCCGTCTTCCTCTGGCTCTTTGGACCCATCCCCATGTTCGCTGCCTGCCTCGCCATGGTCTGCGCGCTCTACTTCCTCGACGTCTACACCGAGTGGGACAAGGCCGACGACGAGGAAGACGACCTCGACGACGACGATGACGGCTGCGTCCCCGCCAAATGCTAAATAAAGGACGGCCGTCTTGGCGCCGGTAGGGCGACGACTCAGTAGACGGATCGAGATCTTCTATCTTAGGTCAGATGACTTTAATGTCACTGACATGTGGGTCCATAACAAAGAGTACCTATATGTTAGTGGCTCAAAGTTAAAGTTATATAACTTAAGTCGAAGGATCTTAATCCTCAGCAGACAACATAGCGGTATGTGAGAACAACTTTAGTGTACAGTTGAACTAGACTTGCTAAAGGTTAACCCGCATACCCACAGTATGCTTAGTGCCTAGTAAAAAGTCATGCCTCTTAAAATAAACTAAGGCACTAATGCATGATTTGTGCTCTGTTTTTGTGTGCTGTATGCTTGTGAATGGTGTTGCTAGTTCTTTGAAAATATATATTGGAATAGCATATTAACAGCACATAAAACGGGATGGTTCATTAATACATGATTAATTAAGTATTAATTATTATAAATTTAAATTTTTATTTATTTTTTCTTAAAAAAAACTTATATATAGAATTTTTTTTACATAAAAATATACCGTTTAGCTATTTGGAAAGCGTGCTAACAAAAAAAAATGAGAAAATTGTAATTTGGAGGTGAAGTTTAGGATAGTATATATGTTTCCCCTATAATCACATCCTAGAAGTGATCTCAGATTTTTAGTACATTGGACCTTATTCGATCTTGTTCCTGTTAACGACCAAATTTGGTAATATCATCATCGGAAAAGAGGATTAGATCGAAGTGGAGTCGAAGGCGGAGATCGATTCGAGAACAGAGCAAGAATCGGCTGGAGTCCGGATCGGCTACGATCAGGATCGGCTGGGTCCAAGTCAGACTGGGTGAGCCGATATAGCCGATTCTGACAATATGACTTGGTATACAACATCGGGTTGAGTTGATATGCTTCAAGATGATTGCCGCACATGGATAGAGTCCTGAGAAGGCAATTGTATCTATTAATTAGGATATTTTATATAATCTCCTTAGAGATATGTTTCGGGCAAAAGTCTGCCGTAAAGACTTATGGTATCTTAGAGTTTGTTAGGGATAAGAGTCGTATCCGACATGGACATAGTTTGTAATTTTCGGGTATAAATAGACCCCGAACCCCATGTAATCAATGAACACACACGTTCAATACAATTTCGGCGCATCGCCACCCTTTTGCTTTTATTTTATTTCGACGAGTTCTTACTTTCGGGTTGAGCTGCATCGGTTTCGATCTTCAACAAGAGGTAAAACTTGTTATGATGGCTTGCGTTCTCGGGATTAGTACTTCCATCTTTATGATACTCTAATCTTGTTTATGTAATTCGTCGAGTTATCATATATCTTACATAATCTCTGGCAATATCGTTATCTAACCTACAATCGGCTAACATCTGTTGGTATAGAGTAGCCGATTAGGTTATATGTCAACGTTGACTTAGATTATATAAGATATCTACCACTCTATGAAACCTTCAGCGGCTTGATTGTCTACATATTGTTCTTTTCATACTTAATGCTGCATCAATTGAGTTTGATCTATTAAGTCGTGCTTAGAATACCAATCTCTAGCCTGCTTTCTGGTTGCCGATTAGAGTAGTATCGAAGTTTCAACCGATCTTATCTGATTCAACTATATTTGTTTTATATGCTTTATTGACACGTTAGATCTGCCCTTTATGTCAAGATATTGTTGCATCTAAGTATATTAAGCTTCTGTTTAGTATATTCTGCTTGTTTTAACATCTTAACATAGAGTCGTATCGGAGTATTAGCCGATACATGCTAGATCTATCTGATCGGCTATGCTATGAACATATATAATCCTGTTATTAATATATATTTCGATCTAAGTGATTTATACTGTCTCGGCATGGCGACCGATCTATTCCAGTCACTTGATTTAAGTATATATCGATATAAGAATTATATATTGTTAATATCTACAGCCGATCGAATAGATTTATTTCTTTATTATCTATTTGCAACTGCCGATCGATTTACATATGACATCGGCTCAGAGATAAATGATACGTCATCGGCACTTAGCCGATCGGCTATCGTTTATAGGTTTAACCGCGGTTTGTTTGTCTTTATTTCTTGTTGATTGCAGGATCAAATCAACTGGCACGCTAGCATACCCGAAGGCGAGTTTTGGACCTGCACTGGAGTTAAGCAGATCTCCTAGGCCTCGTGTTTTACGTCAATAGTTCCCTACTATATATGTGACAACTGATAAAGTCAGTGCCGTCATGTGCTATTGCTTTAGCTAGTAGCCTGGTATTATATTTTAAATTTTTATAGACACTAGAAAAAATACCCGTGCGTTACAATGGGTGAAGGCTATTTTAATTTTATTGTTGTTATATACGGTCCAATTAAGGTATTTTATTGCTGTTATACAATCTAGTTAAGATAAAATTCACTGTGGGAATTCACTTGAATATATATATTTTAGAAAATCATGAGCTGTAATTAAAAGTTCGATCGTCTTAAGTTAGCACGCGAGTTTTTCTAAAGAGAATTCTTATACGAATCTTTCTATATTTCCAAAAAAACGAATGAACTTAAAAACCGACTCATGCACAGATGACTTACTAAATACCGACAAAAACATCTTCAATTTTTATAATAGTAGAGATAGAGATTTGCATGCTTGCATAATTATAAGTCAATTACGTTAATAAACTAAAAATGGAAATTCAAACCTCAAACAATCAGCTCTGAACATTTATCTCCCCCCATAATTCATTCATCAAATCCCACGGTCCAGAATCATCGAATCCAACGGGTCGAGATCGTCGCGGACCCTCTCCCCTCCGCACGAGCTCCTCACGCGCGTCCCCCAAATCCCCAATCACGCCGCCAATGAGAACCCCGTCACTGTCCTCCTCTTCATCCTCGCCGCGGCCCACCGCCTCCGCCGGTTCCTCCTCCTCCTCCGCCGCCGCCGCCGCCGCCGCGCAGTCTCGCCACCACTTCGCGCAGGGCGCCCAGCTCCTCGCCCGTGCGCGCGCCGCCGCAGGGACCAAGAAGCGGAGCCCCCCGCGCGGCGCTCGCCGAGGCCGACCGCGCCATCACCCGTCGACGCCGCCACCTCACCCGACCCGTGCTCCCTCCCCGTCCCCAATCCCGACGAATCCTCCATCGCGCCGCCGCCGGCTTCCACCACGCCCCCCGACCATCCCCCCTCTCCCCAATCCCGGCAGCTCCTCCCATCTTGCGAGTCACCGATCGCCCAATGCGGGTTTGTCGTTGCAGTGATCGAACCGTCGCACCGCCGCCGGCTTCCACTGCGCCCCCCAGCCATCTCTCCTCCTCCCCAATCCCGGCGGTCTCCGTCACGCCGCCATCAAGTCGTCATCGATTACTCGCCCTCCGATACCCATCGCGCCTCCTCGCCCCCACTCCGCTAGCCAGGTAAGCATCGCTCAATCCCCTTCCCGTTCCTTCAATAATTGCAAGAATTCGTTTACTCCTTTGATTGTGACTTCTTGGATGGTCAACCAATGATTGCTACTTCCCTATGCACGTATTGTATTGTGCCCGGTAGGTGTTCGCTTAAATGCCAATGAGGAGAGTTATGTTAAATGCCGTTGAGGGATGGATATGGATCCAGTGCCCATTAGGTGTTCGGTTAAATTCTGTTGAGGGATGGATGGATCGGTTTTACCATTAATGTTGAAGCAAATAAGTGCATAGGTGAATTAGATTCTTTTGCTGTATATAAGGATATTTTGTGTCACTTGCTTTGGTTAGTTGATTCAATAACTAGGTTTGGTTAGTTGATTCAATAACTAGGTAAGAATAATCGGTAGGTAACTTGTCTAAGCAACCAATTGTCAAATTTCTCATGAAGTGGTCCTTTTTTTTCAGAATCATTCCGGTGCAGCCAGCGACCCCAACAGCTCCTCTCGCCACCACCACCACCGTCTTCTCCCTTTGTCCAGGTATCCATTTTGTCTCTCTTGTCCTCCGTTGGATGTCTCCCTGAGGGATCGATGCACTCATATGTGATGCTCCTGACAGATATTTATATAAATCGCTGCTGTCTTCTCAAATTATAATTTACCGTTTTTAATAATTTGTACTGGCATATCAAATTAACTGCTGTTTTTAATAATTTGTACTGATATATCAAAATCAGTGTTGTTTTTAATAATTTATACGCTTCATGGCTCATAATAAATCGCTGGTGCATTGATATCTAAATGTTTGCTCATGTGCTATTTACAGCTCAGGTGACCGGAGAGAAAGAGAGAGCGCAATGTGTCTTTCTGGGCCAAGCGCTTCCAGAATTCCTCTTCCCTAGGCCCGCACACGACACGCCGGGCCACCGTTTGGCCTCTCGCCGCCGGTGACTGGAGCTGAGAACGAGCCCCCCCCCCCCCCCCCCCCGCCCCTTTCGCCGTGGGCTCCGTCACCTCGAGCCTCCTTGCGCTGCCGCTGCAAGCAATGTCGTCAGCCTTTAGGTACGCATGATCCTATGTCGCTGCCCATTCCTGGCCAGTGCCCGGTCCCACACCTGCTCACTCTCCACCGTGGCCGTCGCGGCGGCCGTGCGGCGCGGTGACCTCACCGGCGCGGAGGAGGCGTTCGCATCCACGCCACGGAAGACCACGGCCACCTACAACTGCCTCCTTGCCGGCTACGCCAGGGCGCTCGGCCGCCTCGCGGACGCACGCCACCTGTTCGACCGAATACCGACCCCGGATGCTGTCTCCTACAACACGCTCCTCTCGTGCCACTTCGCCAGCGGCGACGCCGATGGCGCCCGGAGGCTCTTCGCATCGATGCCGGTCAGGGACGTCGTGTCCTGGAACACCATGGTGTCGGGGCTGTCCAAGAGTGGGGCCGTGGAGGAGGCCAAGGCCGTGTTCCTAGCAATGCCAGTGAGGAACTCCGTTTCCTGGAACGCCATGGTTTCCGGGTTCGCCTGCTCTAGAGACATGAGCGCGGCGGAGGAGTGGTTTAGGAATGCGCCGGAGAAGGGGGACGCCGTTCTGTGGACTGCGATGGTGTCGGGGTACATGGATATCGGCAATGTGGTGAAGGCCATCGAATACTTTGAGGCAATGCCAGTGAGGAACTTGGTTTCATGGAATGCTGTGGTTGCTGGGTATGTGAAGAATTCACATGCGGATGATGCTTTGAGGCTGTTCAGGACCATGGTCAGGGAGGCCAATGTTCAGCCAAATGCATCGACGTTAAGCAGCGTGCTTCTTGGTTGCAGTAACTTGTCTGCACTTGGATTTGGTAAGCAGATACATCAGTGGTGTATGAAGCTTCCGTTGAGTAGGAACTTGACGGTGGGCACGTCACTTGTGAGCATGTATTGCAAGTGTGGGGACTTGAGTAGCGCGTGCAAACTGTTTGGTGAAATGCATACGAGGGATGTGGTTGCGTGGAATGCTATGATATCTGGCTATGCTCAGCATGGAGATGGGAAGGAAGCTATCAATTTATTTGAAAGGATGAAGGATGAAGGAGTTGAGCCCAACTGGATTACTTTTGTGGCAGTATTGACTGCTTGTATCCACACTGGCTTGTGTGATTTTGGAATACGGTGTTTCGAGGGAATGCAGGAATTGTACGGAATTGAGCCTCGGGTTGATCATTACTCATGCATGGTGGATCTTCTCTGCAGAGCTGGTAAGCTTGAAAGAGCTGTGGACTTGATCCGCTCAATGCCCTTTGAACCACATCCTTCTGCATATGGAACCTTATTGGCTGCTTGTAGAGTTTATAAGAACTTGGAGTTTGCTGAGCTTGCGGCTGGAAAACTGATTGAAAAGGATCCACAGAGCGCAGGTGCCTATGTACAACTTGCAAATATCTATGCTGGCGCAAATCAGTGGGATGATGTCTCTAGAGTAAGGAGGTGGATGAAGGATAATGCAGTTGTGAAAACACCTGGGTATAGCTGGATAGAGATTAAGGGTGTGATGCATGAGTTTAGATCAAATGACAGATTGCACCCTCAGCTTTACTTGATCCATGAAAAACTGGGCCAGTTAGCGGAGAGGATGAAGGCAATGGGTTATGTTCCAGATCTTGATTTTGTCCTGCATGATGTGGATGAAACTCTGAAGGTGCAGATGCTAATGAGGCACAGTGAGAAGCTTGCTATTTCTTTTGGTCTGATTAGTACTGCTCCTGGGATGACCTTGAGGATTTTCAAGAATCTCAGGGTTTGTGGAGACTGTCATAATGCAGCCAAGGTCATCTCCAAGATCGAGGATCGAGAAATCATTTTGAGGGATACTACACGATTCCACCATTTTAGAGGAGGGCATTGCTCATGTGGTGATTACTGGTGAAGAATGTCGATGACAACAGATATATACTGGCATTTTTTTATGGGGATTCAGCACTATTTAGTCCTGTAACAAGGAAAAATGTTGATCACTGTATACAGGAAGCACTCAACAGTCAACATGTGAGCAATTTACCAATGCGATTTATTCCTGATGTTACTTTTGACAGGTTTTTATGCTTTCCAGACTAGGTGACAAGTAATATACACATTCCCTCGAGTACATATCGGTGCATGAATACATATCAAGACTGTATGGAAGGATTGATGAAGTGCATTTTACTTATCACATGTAGGTACTAGCGATTTGGGGAATTGTATGAGCCAATTCCCAACACTGAGTAGCTGCAATATTGTATTCCTAGAGTTGTGATTTTCTAGAATAGTAAATGACTTTTGGTCAACCTTGAGTTTTAGGCCTGAGTTCCTGGTCACATATTTTAATAGAGTTGTGATTTTCTAGAATAGTAAATGACTTTTTGTCAACCTTGAGTTTTAGGCCTGAGTTCCTGGTCACATATCACATTTAATTCAGCTGTGATCAGTAAACTGAAGTTCTTGACTTTGCTGGCCTGTGTTAAATTCCTGCCTATTCATAGTAGAATTTTGTTTACCTGTCCTATGTGTTTTTTTTTGGCTTTAACAAATTGGATAAAACAGGACCGACCAATGTCCAATGATGAACTGCAAGATATAGAGAAAGTGTCAATTCTGAGTCCTTTTCTGTTTCATATGGTGAGAGCATCTTTTCAAGATGGTCATGGAAAGGAATAACAGTGAGGTAAGTTTGAATGCCTTATGTAAAATGGTAACATCACTGTCATGTTTTCTAACTCTTGAAGACTAAAGAAAATGGAAAAAATTCCTACAAATAGTAAGCCATGCAGCACAACTAATGTTAGCTACATGAGATTAGGAATGATGCACATCATGCATTCATGCTGGAACTGAATAAGTTTAGCCTTATTATCCCTGTCAAATATGTGATTATATATCTGTAAATATCTGATTAACTCAGATTGGTGAAGGCCAGCAATCAGCATCATCTGCAAAGGTCATAAGGTAGAGATTCTCTACATTTTCCATGTCAAAAAAAGCATTTCCCGCAATGTAGAGATCATCAGCATCAACTCCACAATATTCAGGAGCCTGGGGAATACTGTAAGGTTAATATCTCTCTCTCTCTCTCTCTCTCTCTCTCTCTCTTTATTTATTTTCTTTATAGTAGTATTTTGCTGCGTGGTAGTGAACTAGTATAATTCAGTGATCTAGTCACTCTATTCTCTCATTAAGAAGACTAGTAATCATGCACGTGCAATGCACGTTTCTGTAAAAATTATTGGTTCAGTTCTATTAATAGTTAAAAAAAAATAAATTCATTGTAAACCTACAATGTCAACAACTTAACATGAAACATAAGTGGCAAATAAGGGTCTTCTTCACTGACAAATAAGCAAAAGGACTCATTAGTCCTTTTTATTTCCGTTGCCATTTCAAGGGGAAAAAAAAGAATACTAAGTACTCACTTCATTTAAAAGAAAATTCTGCAAGTGCCATTACCAGTTAATTTTTTTTTGCAAAAGCAACCATAGAACCATCCTCTCGCCATAGCAATGTGCGACCAGCAGATAAAAACAATAATCCAGTTAATCTTACAATGCCAGACTATCAGTCACAGGAAACAAAATTGAGATGTCAGGTCGCCAACTGAGACACAAAGTACTGCTACCTCCCCTCCTTAGTCTCATTCTCCTGCATGTTCATGCAGATCAAAGTCCAGAGATTCGAGCTAGCGTTGATGGCATTGGGTAGGGGTGAAAATTAAATGTACGATAATGGTTTCACGTTTCCTTTTTCAGATGAGCTCCACTCCGGTGCTCTCTACTTGCAGTAGAAATTAATCTGAACCGTGGATCATATTTGATCAAAGGGTTGAGATTTACTTCTACTACCACCACACTTGATGGTAGTAGAAATGTGGAGGGGTATTATTGTCCATAGAAAATAATGTGCGGAGGGGTATGATCGTATTTTGCCGCCGGCCCCAATCGCTTCCCACGTCTCTGCCGCTCGTGCCACTCCATCGCCACCTCCACCACCCGTCCCCCTTCCTCTTCGCACTTGCCGCCTCCACCACCCTCGCAGCCTCCGACGCCTCTCCCGCTGCCGCCGCCGCCGCTCGCCTCCGCATTGCGCAGCGCCTCCTCTGCCGGCAGGTGCAGCACTGCCTTTACCGGGCCGTGTCGCAGCCCCTCCGCCATTGGGCTCAGGGGCTTAGGCTGGCAGCCGCCGTCCCCCGACCCCATAGCAGCATCAACCCTCTGTGGCCGGCACTAAAGCAGCACCTCTGCCGCTGAGCAGCAGGCAAAAAGCCCATTGCCATGGAGAATTTATCTTCTCTCCGGTATTTTGATCTTATGTGCTATCTCTTGATTTTGCAATTAGTTCAGTTCTCTTGCATGCCATGCTAGTGTGCAGTGTACCAGCGATGCCTTATTTGAGTTCTGCTTAATGAACAAATACTTTTGTTAACGGAGATGTGTGTTTTTGAATTGTCAGTTGTTTTTATCCACTGTTGATATTTTCAGTATAAGGTGTGAGTGATATGTCATAATTTCTGCAGAACAAGGTAGCGTGAGGGACATTCTTCTCGGGACAGACAATATATGCTCTAGATGTCTATTACAGTGATTTCTGAATATGCCGCCGTCTTAAGGTAACTATGTCGCAACCCTGTACTGTGTTTCTTTGGTTGTTCTTCTCTCATTTACAGACAGAGTGATTATTTATTGGGCCCTTCTGTTTGTTTGTTCACGCCAAATGTCTTTCATTGTCAGTTGTTTTTATCAATTTGTGATGATATTTTGAGCACAATGTGTGATTAGTATGTCATAATTTCTGCAGAACAAGGCAGGGTGAGGCAATACAAAGAAAAACTTTTTCAGCTTGTGATGATATTTTCAGCACAATGTGTGATCATATGTCATAACTTATGCAGAACAAGGTAGAGTGAGGCACATTCTTCTCGGACAGAGAATATATAGAAGAGTGGCAAGACAAAGAAAAACTCTACATGCATATTCCAGTGATTTCTGAATATTCACTGTTATATGTTCTCGCTTTGTTCACCTATAAATCAGCATCTTATATTATCTCTGGTGCAGCAGAAACCCGTCATGCTAACAAGGTTACGGCGTCGCAAAATATTGGAAAAGAGAAGTTTGTGGTTCTGAAAGTGTCGATCTGTGTATATCATAGCTTTTGTGGCTGAATGTATACTACTTGTAATTGCAATTGTGAAGTACCTGTAAAAAAAAAACATACTGGTTTATTCTTCCGTTGCCTTATGTCTGTCATAGTTGGATTGGAGTGTTTTGATTGAAATTTGGATTTAGACCCGGTCCGGACAGTCTCGTTTGAAATTTGGATAAATTTCATCTAAAAATAAAAACGATTTTGGATGTTAAATTATTTCAAAAACTTTAACCGAGTTGTTTATGATTAAGGCGGACAGTCCCATTTGAATTTCAGATAAATTCCGTCTAGGAATTAAAGGAGTAAATTTTACAATGGGCCACATATTTTGACCAAGGTTTCATAATGGACTAGGGTTAAATCAATGTTTTCACTTAACACCGTACATCTTTACATAAGTTTTCAGCTTAGACTAGGGGTGATCAACACAAGAGAATATGTGAGAGAGTTTCATGTCTAAAATATGATTTACACATGGATAATTATAAAAGTTTTCAGTTTAGACTAGGGGTGATCAACACAAGAGAATATGTGAGAGAGCTTCATGTCTAAAATATGATTTACACATGGATAATTATAAAAGGCATAACATTTTATGTTTTCTTCCTTCTTTTTAGTGTGTGGTACTTAACTAGTTCTATTTTCTATTTTATTTTTATTCATTTGCCCCAATGTATTGATCATTTTGTGCCACTTTTAAACATGTTCACATCATTATTTTAGTGTGATTTGCTGAAAAAAATTGTTTTCTGATTTGCTATTTTTTTTTCTAAAGATATGTATCTTAATACTGTGGCACTAAAATTGATGATTTTAACTATCTTTTCTCTGACAACTTCTTTTGATGTGCTCAATCCCAATTCAAAGTGCCAACTAGTGCAAACGTATATGGTGTTAAGTGAAAAGGTTGGTGTGGACCTTACCCATTGTGAAACTTTGGTCAAAATACATGGTGCAATGTGAAATTTACTCGAATTAAAATGATTCTGAATGTTAATTATTTCAAAAACTTTAATCGTGATGTTTATGATTTAGACCTAGTCCGAACAGTCCTGTTTAAAATTTGAATAGATTCTGTCTAAAAATTAAACCGATTTTGAATGTTAATTATTTTGAAAATTTTAACCAAGTTGTTTATGATTAAGACCTAGTCCGGACAATCCAATTTGAAATGCGGATAAATTCTGTCTAAAAATTAAAACGATTTTGAATGGTAATTATTTCGAAAACTTTAATCGAGTTGTTTATGATTTAGACCCAGTCCGGATAGTCCTGTCTGAAATTTGGATAAATTCCGTCCAAAAAGTAAAAAGATTTTGAGTGTTAATTATTTCAAAAACTTTGACCGAGTTGTTTATGATTAAGGTCCGGACAGTCCCGGTTGAAATTTGGATAAATTCCATCTAAAATTTAAAACAATTTTGAATGTTAATTATTTCAAAAACTTGAACATAGTTGTTTATGATTTAGACCCGGTCAGGACAATTCCGGTTGAAATTCGAATAAATTCCATCGAAAATTTAAAACGATTTTAAATGTTAATTATTTCAAAAACTGTAACAGATTTTTTTTTTATGATTTAGACAGTTCCGGTTGAAATTCGGTTAAAACGATTTTGACTGAGCTTCACATATTAAAAACACAAATATTAAGAAAGGGTATAATATTAAATAAATAGAATGGGTGAGGCTTCGAAGTCAGGCCTAGCCCACTATCTTGCGGAGCTCACCGGAAGACCATTGGGTGTTTCTTGAGCCCCACATATTTTGTCATAAAATAGTAGTTCTCTAATTTATGTGTTCACGACAAAAAAAACCACGTGCTTTTGTTATCGACCTGGTCTGAATAGTCCCGAATGAATTTTGGACGTAGCATATTTTACCCTAAAATACTAGTACTGCTCTAATCTATGTGTGCACTATGAAAAACCATGTGTTTTTGTTGTTAATGGGCTCTGGACTAACCGAATGAATTGCAGACGTAAATATTTTTCCTTTTTTCCGTTGTCAACCCGATCTAGACCAGATGAAATCATGATAAATTTGGTCTAAAATTGAAACCGAAATTTGTTGTGTTTAAAAACTTTAATCCAGTTTTCTTGACGCTGTAGCGTAGCATAACCTGACACGTTTTTTTTTATTCAACACGTTCTTTTCTGATCGGACGTACGGAGTACGTTCTTTTATAATCACATACACACGTGGGCCCACGTCATTAGTTGGTCCACACGAGTCTGCACAGGCCCAGAGTCCGTACAGCCCATTGACGGACAAAACATCCGGTGCCAAAATTACCCCTAGTCTATATTAGTACTCCTACATTAGTACATTACTAGTCTACCTTTTAAAATAAACGGTTTAGATTATTTCTAGTATAGTACGGAGCGTCCCTCTTTTCAGATGTATAGGCGGTTGTGAATATGAATATGCTGAAATTTTGTTACTTTGGCCCTTTTGTAAAACTTATTTTGTAAATGGATTGTGTCAAAAACTAACTATAGAGTAAATTTCACCGAACCACACATATTACGGTTTAAGTTGTACAAAACCACTGGAATTTTGACACGTGGCACATAAATCTAGATATTATAACCATAAAGTTTTATAAAATCACACTATTGATTATTTTATTTTGATATGCCATACTTTTGAGTTATATCATCACATCTTAAATTTGTATGTTCTTTACCCATCATACAAAGAGCAATGGCAATTAACAGATAAACTATAAGCACGTTTTCATTTTTCAAGGACCTAAGAGCAAGAGAAAATTCCCTACATACACTTGAAAGTTTCGCAATCTTTTCTATACCTCTAAATTTTGCCTCATCCACTACATGCCCTTGAGTTTTCATTTTAATCTCCTCTATCCTTATTCCGTTAGTTGACCGTAAGTTGACTGTTAGATTTTTCTAAAATTACCATATCATCCATTTCTCATACTTACGTGCTATCTACTTCATAATTCACAATGTGAAAAATTGTAATTCATGATAAAATCAAATGGGGCATAATTATTTATTGTAAAATTTGAAAAAGAAAATTTAAATTGTTGAACAAATTTATTTTTTGACAAAATCCATATAAGAGTTTTGCTAGAAATCATGAACCAAAATTATTTATTTATCGGGTTCAAATTTTGATGAATTTTGTAAAAGTTAATTTAACATTTATTTAAAAATTTTAGATTTATATTAAATTTTGTTGTCAAATAATTATATTCCCTTTTCTTTACAAATAGATCTTTTTTCATATAAGAATTGTGTTTTTGGCACTAAACTACTCACATAAGTATAGAGAGAGGTAATATAGTCAATTTTAAAAATATTTTAACGGTAACTCATGGTCAACTAATGGAATAGCACAGAGGAGATCAAAATAAAAACTTAGGGGTATATAAGGGATGAGGCAAAATTTAGGAGCGGATCGAACAAAGGCCCCGTTCGAATCCAAATAAAAGGATGGATGAAATTTTGGATTAAAGTGGCACGCTTTTCAAACTGCTAAACGGTGCGTTTTGTGCGAAACTTTCTATATGAAAGTTGTTTTAAAATATCAGATTAATCCATTTTTCAAGTTTGTAATAATTAAAACTTAATTAATCACACGTTATTATCACCTCATTAATTTACGTGAAACACTTAATATTTATCTTCACAAGATTCAAACACCACCAAACTCCCATGGTATAGAGGGGAGCAATGGCATTGTAGAATTACATAACTTAATAACAAAAGAGTGAGAAACTTTCACGCAGAGAAGCGCCCATGGCCTAATGGATAAGGCGTCTGACTTCTAATCAGGCGATTGTGGGTTCGAGTCCCACTGGGCGTGACTTTTAATTGATTTTACTTGCTTTTCTTTTTTTCCCCCATTTTTTCGATTCTGCCTTTTTTTTTTGCGGGATACTACTAATTATTTGCTCTAAGAAGTAAATTTCCTCTATAATTATACATGTCTCTTTCCTTATTCTTACTTTTGGCTAACCTGGCCTATGTATATTGTATCCAAATGACTCGTGTCATCGGGCGTATGGTTAGCTGATGCTGTTCGGGCCATTGATATATGGGCCCATACAGACGATACTGATCGGTATCGAAATGAACCATCGTTAAATGAAAGAGCCATATGATAGTCATGATACCTAAGGTTTAATTAAAATTTACACAATTCATTCTATCTATATAGATATAGATAGTTGATGTGTACTAACTTCTAAAGCTCAACGTGTAAGTGTGCACATCAACACCTACTAGTAATTATTATCTACAGTATTTTAAATATCATACAAGCATAATATATCATTTTACAATTTTATTGTATTTTTAGAACTCAATATACAAACAATCTCAAATCATTATCTTCATACCATTTTTATATTATGTAAACATATATATCTATTATTTTTATAATGTATTATATATATATATATATATATATATATATATATATATATATATATATATATATATATATATATATATATATATATATATACACGGGGTATTTTTAGAATGCCACGTAGATCATTTTTTTAGAAAAAAATTATTTGAAATCGAATCAACTCAATTTACGCGAAATTTAATAAAGGGAAAAGTCTATTTTACACCCTCCAAATTTTGTGTTTGTCTAAAATACACTCCCGAATTACAAAATCGGATATAATACCCCTCTAACTATTAAAACCAGACACTTTAACCCCTTGAGTTGTTTTTATGGTGGTTTTGGTACACGTATATGCTAGGTGTATAAATGATCTACGTCAGCGGTTATAGGCCAAAGCCAGATGTCTCTCTCTTCGGCGGGGGCGAGGCTCTACACCGTGGTCGAGGGGGAGGAGGAGGACTGGCCCATCTTCTTCCTTCCTCTCCCTCCGGGAGAACTCGTCGGAGGCTTAGAGCTCTGGTATGCTTCCCTGAGCTTAGCCAAGGAGAGCAAGCACGCCGCCGGCCTGTATTCTCCTGAGCTTGGCGAAGGGAGCGGTCTCTGTTGAGCTCATTGCCGATCACCTCTTCTCCTTGGGCAAAGGGGCGGGCTCGGCGCCAACGCCATCTTCTTCAAGCTCGGCTTGGGGGTGGGCTTCGCGTTAGGTAGACGACGCAGCGGGAGGCTCACCAGCCGCTATTTCCATCTCGTTCTGGTTGTTCCTTAGCCAGTCATCTTTCTCGATCTGCTTGTTCCACCGGCGTGCGACTGTCAATCAAGGGCGACATAATCTCCGGTGTGTTCTATGTCACCGCCGCCACCGGCCATGCCGTCGACCAGAGCTCCATTGATGCAGTGAGGCAGAGGGTTGGCATGGCCTGTCTCGTTGCCAAGGAGGAGCACCGGCGGCATCTCTACTAGAAATCCCGACCGGATCACCGTGATGGCAGCAATGGTGGCAGCACATTGGTTTGTTGTTTTACCTTGGCAACTTTTTTTTTTGACTAAAGTTGCCAACTTTGTCAAGAGGAACCTGGTCAGCTTGGGTTGATCAAATCGTGCTCATAGACATGAAGCTAAAATCGAGAATTAATCCAAGAACAACCCAACAATTCAGTACGTAGCTGATCCTCCTCCGTGCCACCGCCTCTGCCAGCTAACGCCGCCGCCGGCTCCGGCAAGCCACGCGCGCGGCTGCTGGCCGCTGCACTTCACGGCAAACCCCGAAAGGGCTTTGGCCCATATAACCACTGATGACGTGGAGCATTTATACAGCTGACATCCACGCATACCAAAACCACCATAAAAACATATTAAGGGGTTAAAGTGTCTGGTTTTAATAGTTGTAGGGTGTATTATTTCCAGTTTTGTAATTCAGGGGTGTATTTTAGACAAGCACAAAAGTTAGAGGGTATAAAATGGACTTTTCCCTTTAATAAAAGAAATTTATCGCGTGTCAAATATATGGCTTTAAACTATACTAGTCTGGAATTAACTAAAGTACCAATCAGGAATTCAACATAAAATTAACGTACATCAATCATTCCGTCCATTAAATTCTCAAATACATGTCACTATCAGGTTTCCCCTACCGCTAGTAACCGCGCTTACCGCATGGTACAGTAGGCATTACCGGTGGTAGGATTTGATGAATTTTGTCCAAATTCAAAATTTTGAAAAAAAATCCATTTATATATTTCTTGATTTGAAGTGGCAGATGGTGTAGAATTTTTTTTTTTTGGAAAGGAGTGAGATAAATTCAAATTTGAGGGCAAAACGGAAAGTACATTAGAAAATAAAAAAAGAGAAATAATATAATGAGCCCTAGGTGGACAAAATATCCGACCCATTAAGGCCCATAAGTGGAGAAAATATCTCCCGGGTCCTCTTATCTCTCTCTATCGCGCTACCTCTGACACATACTTTCAAATGTGAGCTTGTTGAATTATTATGCTACGAAATGTTGAATTGCTTCAAGTCCATAATATAGAAAAGGTCATCTCGAATTTTGGTATTTTACACCAAAAGTTAGGTTCGCAAGTATCCTATATATTCTTCAAATTATCCTTAATTTCTACACACATTTAAGTGTTATTTTCAATTTTTTAGGACTGTTTCTGTTCTGCTACACAATTGGCGGTAACCGCGCCAAAACCGCGAAACCGCTGATTTCTGAATTCAAATATTTAAGGATGAATTTCACGTGGTTTTTGGGTAACCGCCTTACCGCCAGGGGGATAACCCCCTCAAATGGTAAGGGAAACTCTTATCACTATTGAATATCAATGTTTTAACTTTGATGACTAATATTTTTAGATATTTAGATTACAATAAATGAAAGATTAGTGCTTACATTAAGGACGTAACATACTACGGTATCTTTTTAAGTATTTATTATTTTTTTTAAAAAAAAATTAGTGATCAAAGTTAAAATATGTATCTTTTTTAATAGAATATTCATTATTTGCTTTAAAAGGATACATCCAATTATTACATAAATTGCTTGATAAAGACGGTGGATTACAAAATCACAATTTCATTTAAAGTATGAAAAGTTCTTATAACAAGATCACGATAGAGATAACAAGTTGCATGTTTCTTCGACTGTATAACCATTGTTTCTTCAACGACATACAAGTTGCTCTTGTCTAACTCAAATCATGAATTGAAACAGAAATTCTAAAATCAACCGTTTGATGATCATTGTACCAGTTTGATTTTGCTCACATGACCGTGGCAGTCGTTCGTCCACATCTTTGCCACCGCCGCAGCCATCAAAGCCACCAAGAGCTGAGTTAGGTTTCCAACAATGGACGCTGCCACACGGAAAAGGACTTACAAAGTGAGAATAACAAGTACTACCTCCGTATCCCGTTGACCTTTTATTCAACGTTTGACCATTCGTCTTATTCAAAAAATTTATGTAATTATTATTTATTTTATGGTGACTTGATACATCATCAAATGTTCTTTAAGTATGATATAAATATTTTTATATTTGCACAAAAATTTTAAATAAAACGAATGGTCAAACATTGGTCAAAAAGTCAATGGCGTCATACATTAAAATACGAAGGGAATATTTAGTAATGGAGATAGTATAATATTTTGAGTACCTATATTCTTTGTTATCTACTACCTCCATCCGAAATATAAGGAGTTTTAGAGTTGGACGCAGTATTATATTAAGAAAATAGGTAGAACTAAATGATGGAGGATTGTGATTGGTTGAAAAGTGAAGGTAGGTGATAAAATTGAATGATGGAGGGTTGTTATTGGTTGATAAGGGAATGTTGATGGAGAATTTGTTGTATTTAATTTGGGACAAATTTTAAAGGCTAAAAATTATTATATTTTAGAATGGATGGAGGATATATTTATCAGACGGATATTAATTGGTCGTTCCTCTCTTAAAAATAAAATAGAATGGGACAGATTGATGAAGAATTTTCAATACAAGATCGCAAGGCTAAAGTTAATTAATCTTCCGCAACTGTTGGCGTGATTCTTCTCGATCTCCTGAAAAAGCCAATCGAGAGATAACTGCATGTGTGCACTTAAATACCTAATCACCATGATCCCCATCGATCCGGGCACAATGTTTGGTCAAAATCAGCAAATAAATTTTCTACACAAACTAAATTTATTGGCTTGTCCCTCTGCATATGGCTATTTAGCTGATTTCTTAAATGGAAATGATGACGACTAAGGTGCTGCGTGGCCACTGTGATTCACTTCCGAATCTCCTGAGATTACATGGATCGTGCGGCCATGTAGCTACAGCTTTGAGAACATGTGTGATCACTGTTTTGATCAGCTGTAAATGACCAAATTAGCAAGCTAATAATATATCATCATCAACTGATTGTACTTGATAAAATGTACTTGGGCATGATGTAACAAAGAAAATAGCAACTTTTTTTTTAAGAGCAAGCAATCTTAATTTGCTTCCAAGATAAACACATCAAGTGTCCAAAACCTCCACAAACAATATATCTACATCAGGAGCTTTATATCTAGGTTGAGCGTTTTTTTTTTTTGCATGAAAAATGGGTAAAAAGTTTGGCTGCCAAATGCTCTGCAGGATTTTAGGGCTTCCGTTTGTTAACATCCCTGAAGATAATATATGGAGTATAAATATACAATTAAACTTATATTAGTGCATAAAGAAAGGCTTTTTTCTAGCTAGATACATGTACATGTATGCATGATTTATGGACACTTTGGCATAAAAAAATAGTTGTATATGTGTGTACATCTCATCTCAATCAGTTGCAACAAGGTTTCTTCAGAGTCCAAACATTCAGTTACATACATATACATCCCTAATTAATTAAATATTCCAGCTATGTTTAATTTGTCCATCAAATAAACTAAGTTGTCAAGTCACAAAGCATTATCAGATGATCATCAGTTATCCTTCCATTTTTGGCTATAAAAATGGGCATCGTTGCTTCCCATTTCTAGGCGTGTGCTTCACACACTCTCTCTCCCTCTTCTTCCAAAGCTCCAAGCTCGATCGATCTCGCCATGGCGATGCAGATGAACTCGGTAGTGCACGTGTCCACCTCGCCGTCGCCGTCGCCGGCGACGTCTCCTCCTCCAGAAGGTAAGCAAGAACACGGCGAGGTGGCGGCCGTCCATGTCGTCGGCGTCGGCGACGACGAGGCGGTGATGGTGGTGAAGGATGAAGAGGCGTTTGGCGGCGGCGGCGTGGACTACTCCGGCCGCGCGCAGTGGCTCCGCGCGGCGGTTCTGGGCGCCAACGACGGGCTGGTGTCCGTGGCGTCGCTGATGATCGGCGTCGGCGCGGTGAGCGAGTCGGGCAGGGCGATGCTGGTCTCCGGCGTCGCCGGCCTCGTCGCCGGCGCGTGCAGCATGGCCATCGGGGAGTTCGTGTCCGTGTACGCGCAGTACGACATCGAGGTGGCGGCGGCCCGGCGCAGGAGGAGGCAACGCCGCCGACGCTGCGACGGCGACGGCGAGGAGGAGGGGAGCGGCCGGCTTCCGAGCCCGTTCAAGGCGGCGGCGGCGTCGGCGCTGGCGTTCACGGTGGGCGCGCTGCTGCCGCTGCTGGCCGGCGGGTTCGTCCGCCCCTGGGCCCCGCGCGTCGCCGCCGTGTGCGCCGCCACCTCGGCCGCCCTCGCCGGGTTCGGGGCGCTTGGCGCGGCGCTCGGCGGCGCGAGCCCGGCGAGGTCGGCGGCCAGGGTGCTTCTCGGCGGGTGGGCCGCCATGGCCGCGTGCTACGGCGTGCTCAGGCTCTTCGCAAACTTGTACTAAAATATTATTATTGTGTCGACACATTTTCTTCTCGATTGCACTCAGATTTGTATGGTGTTTGATCTGCTTGAGATTAGTGCTAGCTTGTTTTGCCCGTGCAGATGTGACTCGACTATGCGTTTGGCCCATTGTGATTATGGTTTAGATTTAGAGATGAGAAAAATTACAGTATAAATTTTAAGATTTACATGCAAGATTTGAAAATTATAATGTAAATATATAAATATGTAAGTACATTGTAATGTGTAAGTGAATATAATTATAGTGTAAAAACGATTTGACTATTTTTTATGAAAAATATGATACCATAAATATAGCTACTCCTGTAATAATTTAATAAAAGATATTATATGGAAAATGTTGCATGGCTATTATCGAGTTGCATGCATCGACCAATTCAACCAAAAAGATTAAGCTGATAGAGAAATGTGAGCAATTCACTTTATATTCCAACATCCCTCCTCACGTGAGACCCCCTCAAACATCTAGCTTAGAATAAATGCGAACAATTCACTTTATATTTCAACACACTCCTTCACGCCTCCTTTGCATGAGGCCCCCTCAAGCCTATTTAAGCTGATGGAGAAGGGTGGGCAATTCACTTTATATTCCAACACTCCCCGCCTCACGAGAGGCCCTCTCTAACCTCTAACGTGGAATAGAGGTGGGCAATTCACTTTATATTCCAACACTCTCCATTACGCGAGGCTCCCCTCAAGCCTCGAACGTGGAATAGAAATGGGCTGTAGTTTTTATTTAATTACGTACCAATCAGAATTTAAACTCAAGACTCGGCCAGTAAGATAGCAGTGATGTAGTGGTGAGGAGTATGCTAGAGATGAAGATGCCAAAAGGGGTCCAAAGTGAATCAAAATGGCAACAAAAGGGAGTCCAAAGTGAAAATTTTGATGAAAGAGATCCAAAATAACACTACGGTAATACAAAAAAGGCTCAAAGTAAAGTTTACTCCGATGTTTATGTGTTATATCGACTGTACAATTAATACAAACCGTCCGATTCTGATCCAACAGTAGAGAAGATCCTAAATTTATATTGCGATCAATGGTATCGAACTATCGATCTTATTGAGGACTTGGTGGAAATGGTAGAGATATTGATAAGGATCTTTCTGCAAAATACAGCGAAGGCTTTGATCGGACGGCTGAGGAGAGACGCAGCTCTGGTCGCGGACCTCGTCTGGTTCTCCGCCGCCGCGGCGGCCGCCGGCGATTACTCCGCCGCCTTTGCCCGAGCTCGCTGCGGCCACGGTCTGCGCAGTGGAGGGGGAGGAGGAAGGGGACGAGAGCGGCTGGAGGCTAGGCCGAAGCGGGGGTAATGCGGGTGAGTCGATTAATCTGAGTTTTTTTTTTTGGCAATTATATGGAGGGGTATGGATTCCCCAATCCTTGTCGTTTCTGTTCGAGCCGTATGATTTTGATGCGATTTCTAGCTTAGCTGTACGTTTCGTGAGGGCCAAACCCTCTCGTGGATTTGATAGGGGTTTCTTCATGATTGTTATCTTCTTCCTCCACATTTTAGTGCAGTAGCAGTTGCAGTTCATGAATCGTGCGATTGGATGCCTTGCCACTGCCTCCTAATGCTGATAGATCCATTCTTTTATTGTGAATTCTGGTACTGTATAAAATTTATAAATCTTGGTCGGCTTCGAGCTAGCTAAACCAAAAAAAATTAGATAAGAAAGAAATGTTGGGCTATTCTGTTAGAATTTATTCATTCATTTATTTTTGTTTGGGGAAATGAAATGTTGGGCTATCCTGTTTCTAACAACCAATTTTATTCCTAGCAATATAAACTGGTAAATTTTGTTTTTACATGTTTTAGATTGGCATCAAATGCTCGTCAATGGTGCCAAGTCCTTTTATTTTCTGCTGCCGTCCTATCTGAAGAAGTGGAGATCTTGAGGATCAGTCTTTCATTCCTTTGCTTTGCATACAGTACAATCTTGAGTAAACGCCATTGCTTGTTGTGACCAATGTTTCGTGGCTGCCCATCTCGACCACCTCGCCTTTGTCCATCACGACGATCACATCTGCACTTGTGACTGTGGATAGTCTGTGCGCAATTGTGATACTCGTGATCTTGTTCGATAGCTCACCTTCCTTGCTTTTCCACTCCTTTGCTGCCAGGGAGCTCATCACCACCTTCTCGGTTTCACCATCCAGCGCACTTGTCGCCTCATCTAGGAGTAGTATGACTGGCCTCTTCAGTATAGTTCTTGCAATGGCTATTCTCTGCTTCTGCCCTCCTGAAAGTTGGCTTCCTTTGTCCCCGACCACCGTGTCGTACCCATTTGACAGGCCACTGATGAACTCATGGATGTTTGCCTCCATTGCAGCCTCAACTATTTCTGTTTCCGATGCACCTTCATTTCCATAGCTGATGTTCTCTCTTATGGACAAATTAAACAAGATTGGCTCTTGCTGAACTAGTCCTATCTGTTTTCTTAGGAACCTCAGATTGTATTCTCTGACGTCCTTACCGTCAACAAGTACCTGCCCTCTGCAAGGATCATAGAATCTTAGCAGAAGAGATACGATTGTGGATTTTCCTGCACCACTGGGCCCAACTAATGCTACCCTTTGGCCTGGTTCAATAGCTAGACTGAATCCATCCAATATGATCACATCTTGTCTTGATGGGTAGCTGAAACTGACATCTTGAAACTCAATGTTGCCAGTAATTCTGTCTTCACAATGCACTTTTGGTTCATCTGGCACGATCTGCGTTTCTCTGTCGAGAATGTCGAGTGCAGGATCCAATATTGCGATGGCCGATATAACCATAGGGATCAAAGACCATAACTCTGTGATGGAAGTTATTGTCAGTGCAATTGCTTGATAGGCCCGTACACAGTTTTCAAATGTTGCTAGGCTCTTGTCAAGTAGCACAATGGTGTAACTCAATGCGATGGCATGTGTCATGTGCCACAAGCAGAGGGAAACCCCTTGTACCACCCCATACTTTATGCTCTCTATCCTGCTTGTCTGCATTGGTTCTTGCAGCGACAAATCTGCTTTCTTTAGTATTTCCTCTTCCTGACCAAAAGAGGCCACTGTACGAATGTTGCTAACAGCCTCTGAAGTGAGTGAGATGAGCTTCCGGTGAGATGTAGAGGTGTCAGTGGCAAAACCTTTTGCTGACCTTACTTGTACGAGGCCAGCGATGAACTGACATGGCATCAGAGCCCATGCAACCAGACCCATCCTCCAGTTCACTCCTATGCTTAATCCTGTAGCTATCAAAATTGAAGAGATACACTGCACAATCACTGACATTCGATCAGATATGATGGTTTTAATCATGGAGGTGTCACCAACAACGCGTGATGTCAGGAAACCGACACTGTTCTTGGGTTGTTCAAACCAACCGATTTCGTTCTGCAGAATGACTGTGTTTAACACAAAGAGAAATGGTGTTACAATCTAAAGAACAACCGATCATATACTTCTCTACTAAATGCAAACTTGCGTGATATGTAAAATGCTATGCTTGAGTTTCAGACCTGAAAAGAGGGCCTCCCTTAGGTTATTCATTGCCCTTTCACCGACAAGGCCATATATATAGTGCTGGAAGATGTTACTGAAAAATGTGAGCAATCCAATAAGGAACAAAATTATCGAGTACTTGGCAACTATTCTCTTTGCATCCGGGTCAAAGTATGCTATGGCAACGGTCATGATATAGAAAGCAAATATTGGCTTTGAGACCCCAGAGATTGCTGCTGCTGTTGAGCCCAGAAGAATCTTTCCTGGCTCCAGCATAAATGTTCCAAGGAACATTCTGTAGAAAGCAGATGCTCTGTTTCTGATATCCTGCTTCGGTTGGTTTGGGTTCAGTTCTAGACTCTTCTCTTGTTCATGTGCAGTAGAAGACGGCTCATTGCTTGTTCCACTTCCATTGTCTTGTTCTTCTCTGACCTGATCAGTAAATCTGAAAATTTATTCCCCAAAATTAATTAGGATGCCACACAAATCATAATAACGAGTAAAATATACTCTGGTCTATTCAGTTAATTCTAGCAACCGATTTAGGTATTGTTTCTCTAGTCAAAGAGCAGAACACATCTTAAGCTTTATATTTATGCATCTTCTAGAATGTATTGGTTCTAATACTTTTCATTCGTAATTGCATATGTACAATGCCATGATGGATTCCATAAATGAACATTCTACATTGTGAAAAGACTGCAATCAATTATGCTTACCTTTCTTCACTCTTGCCAGATTCCTTCTCTAGATTTTGCATACTGCATACACTCGAGTAGAATGGACTTTTCTCCAGCAATTCTTCATGAGTTCCAGATTGAGCTACTTTTCCATTCTCCACAACAACAATCTTGTCTGAATTTATGATTGTTGACATTCTGTGGGCAATCAAAATAACTGTCCTTCCTTTCATAGCTCCATCAAGAGCTTCCTGAACCAACTTCTCTGATTCTGAATCAAGTGCACTTGTGGCTTCATCAAGAAGAAGAATTGGCGGATCTTTTAGCATAGCCCTTGCAATTGCTATTCTTTGTTTCTGACCTCCTGATAACTGCACACCTCTTTCTCCTACCTGAAGTGATTGCCATAGTTTAATACATTGGTAATACTAAGTTTTTCATTTATTGAAGATAAGCGGGGATGCTTGGATTTGTACTGATGCTTAGTTGCTTACTATTTGTAGGTTCAGTATATAACTACTCAAAAAACTTGTCTATTTAATTTGGGCATATTCAGCATATTCCTCTAAAAAGAACATAACACATTACTGCCATCGAGATGAATTTCCAAGGGAACAACTAAAAGCAGTATATTGGTCCAAAACTTGAAACATAGCCTGAATTTTGTCCTTCTATTTGAATATGTATGCATCGTTTGACATAGTTTGATTCAATTTGTAAGGTTTTTACAACTCTCATTTTTCACGAGCATGGAGTCTTTACCTCCGTTGAGTATTGGTTTGGGAGTTTGGATACAAAGGAGTGCACATTAGCTGATTTTGCTATTTCAATTATCTCTTCATCAGTTCCATCCATTTTGCCAATTCTCAAGTTATCCATGATCGTACCGGAAAATAGTGATGGTTCTTGAGAGACAGAACCTATACTTCTCCTGAGGGACTTCAGATCAAGTTCCTTAATATTTTGACCATCGATAAGAATATTACCTGCATTATAACATCATCTAATTAACAAAAGCAAGATCTAAAAGTTTATCTCTATGCAGCACATATTTTTAGAAAAAAATGGATCCTGTAGGCAGTGACAACATGCCATTTTTATTTTTCTCTAGAAATTATAATTTAATACGCAAAGCATGTCATGTAAAGTAGTAAACTCTAGCTCTTCTGTACTCTAAAAAGCACACAGACTGTAGAATATACACTTCAACCCATTTTTTGCTCGGTGATAGAGATATATCATAGAAGCATACCTGATATAGGATCATAGAACCGTTGAACAAGAGAAATCACAGTGCTCTTCCCACATCCACTGCTCCCCACAAGAGCCACAACTTTGCCTGCCGGTATGGATAGTGAAAAACTTCTGAGAATTGGCTTGTCGACTCTGGATGGATACATGAAATCCACCTCTCGAATTTCAATATTTCCAGTGACCTTTTCTAGGATTGTTCCATTTGATTCATAACTTATCGCTGGATTTCTATTGATAACCTCAAATACTTCTTTGCCAGCAGCTTTTGCTTGGCTGAAGGACTGAAGATCTGGTGCTGCATTTGAGATATATCTGAAACCACATATAAAAATAATGACCCTGTCAACTTTATAGAAGTAAAATGTTTGGAAGTAGTCTAATTTATGATAACCATGGAATACAAACTAGAAAGATAGTTCTTTATTACATTGCGGCAGAGAGGATGTTAATGACAGCTGCAATTGTTTCACCTCCTTTTGCAGATCTATCAACTACAGCAGCTGCTCCAACCCACACTGTTAATGAATACGAACAGAAAGTTGCGATCTGTAACATTCCCAAACCTAGTCCTTTTGTCATTGCCTCTATCTTGCTTAGCTTATATTGCTTGTCCATACATTTGGTGAATGATTTGATTGCCGAATTTTCTCCAACAAATGAGAAGACAGTCTTGATATGTGAAAGAGTCTGCACAAATGTATATACGATTACAAATTTGATAAAGCAGACCTACTTGGTTCTAATATTTCATCCATTTGTATAGGTACCTGTTCTACAACTGTGGTTGCTGCAGAGACCAAAGCTATTCTTTTCATCGATGCGTCAATCATCATTTTTGCATATGTTGCGCCAACCATGAGGAGCATAGGAACAACCAGCATGGAGAGCATACCCACCTCCCAGCAGCAGACGAAAGCAACAATGATGGAAACTAAGAATGTGGAGAAGTTTGACAAAAAGTGACCAAGCTGAGGGAAAAAGGTAAGCTCATGTTCAATATTTGATTGCCACATGAACGTTGTAGCACTTTAGTTTGATTTACTAAAACTTGCAGTGAATGTTTATGCTACAATCGTATACCTTTTCACCAATTGCATCTTGTATAGCACTCATATGGTTGGTTGCTCCAGCCATGACGTTTGCTGTGGTTAGGTCAGTATCAAAAGCTCCGATATCTTGACTCAGCACTGATCTCAAGTATGCCATCCGCATGCGTGACATTTGTCTCTGACTGGTATACATCCAACATGTAATTTCTGCGGAAGGATCATTGTCGCAAAAAGGTAAGATGGTTTCTTTGAATCTACTCCCTCCGTCCCATAATATAAGGGTTTTTGGAGGGATGTGACAATTCCTAGTACTACGAATCTGAACAGCACATCCCTCCAATATCCCTTATATTATGGGACGGAGGGAGTAACATTCTAACATTATTTTCATTTTTTTTTGTTCCAATCATGTGATGCTCTTGTTGCTGCAGACAAACAGACAAGTAGTAACATAGGGAATGGTGTTGCTATGAATTGCTCACTTTTAAAGTCTTAATCTTTCGTTTTCTCTGCACATTTCTGTGTCATGATGCTCTGTACTCAGGGTCCAATTTTCTTTTTCACATTTTCCAGACAGTTATCTTCAGGTGCCTAGTAGATAATATATTGTTAAGGTATATGCTACAAATGTTGACAATATTCTAACCAGGTTGGGCCATACTAGATTCAGTAGGTTGGCCTAAGCTCAACCAAAAAGCCACTTCACCAACCTTTAGCCACAGTGAAATTGCTCGACCTTCTGTCTTATATTCTGTTCTGTATGCACTTATAGCTGTCAAACAGGTTATATGATCTTTGGATTTTGATAGGTTCCTTCAGGCTTCCACTATGCTCTTACTTTAAAGCATAATTTAATAGGTAATAACTTACTTTCAGTATCTTACAAGGTACAGTTCCAAATATAGAAAATTTAGAAGAATGCACTCACCAATCATTCCACCAGGAAGTGTAATAATTGCCAATGCCCACATATAAGGAATTAACTACAAACAAGAATAACACAATTAGACTATGTTAAGGGTATAACCAACATTTTGCCTTCAATATATAAGTCAAAGAAGAACATTCAGTGATACCAGCTTGCATTCTACATGGCGGTTTCCAAGTATTTTGGACAGATTACCTTAGAGAGTTCATGGACTGTGGCCTCCCGATTGCCTATGTTGTTCCCGACCACATCGATGCCTTTGCCGACCAAGTAATATGACATCGAAGGCCCCATACCATGCAGGAAGGACCCCATTGTTCCTGCTACCATGAGCAGCCAATCTAGTCCATCAGCATAGCGAAGCAGCCCAAAGAATGGGAACTTTTTGTCCGCCGCAGCAGCTGCCTTTTCTTCCACCGGCGGAGAAGTGATTTCCTCATCATCCACACTGATGTGTTTAGAGGGTTCAACAGGGTGATCTTTTTCTTGGATGAGTGCCATTGTTTTTGTGAGCCTTCTGATGGTTTGCAGAAGAGCAGCAGCAGCAGCATTGGGCTATGTATATAGAAGCAGAAAATGGTACAAAAAATGTATATAGAAGCAGAAAAATCATATAAGTACAAAAATGGTAGACGTTCCATTGATACTCTCAATGTTCATATGGATAACTAATCAACATGGGAATTGGATATTTTGAATTTATTTATTGGACTGATCTTAGCAGTTGCTATTCTCAGCCTAAAACTATGTTGCTGACATCGTGCATGATGTGACAAATGGTTTTGAATTTGAACCCATTAGAAGTAAACATATTTTTTCACTGGAGTGTGAAACTTTAATTATGCATTCAAGTCACATCATAGTGAAATACTAAGCACCGTTCTTTCGTTGTCGTAACCAAATTTTAGTGACAAGAAGCAGCTTTGTTTTCATCTAACACTACTGAAGCCCACCTGCAAGTTTAATAACCTAAATTGGCAAAGCCATTTTTTCACTAAAGATACTCTTTGGAATGGGATCCTACTTTAGTACTTTACATATTCCAATTTCCTTCCAAATTCTAGTTAAATAAAGTCTACAGCTTCCTTGTATAAATATGATGTTTTGCCATGTGTCTATTGAAGTTTATGTTGGAATAAATTATTAGACCTACAAGATCAAGGTATCTGGAGTAATAATAGTCAAAGGCTACAAAATCGTAGTCCACTTTCTGAGGTGACACGTCCGCGAAGTTATCATGTATGATTACAATACAACCTTGTTCTCCATGGCATAGTTTCGTGCTTAAAAATATTGTTTTTATGAAACCTTGTTGTAAATCTTATGCTGGGTGTTTGATCGCAGAACTTCACTTGCTGTTGTTTAATATTTTTTAATTGTTTTGATTTGGTGCTGCTACATGCACCATCTGAATCTGCTCTTCACATACTTTCTTACTGCCATGTATCAAACTTTGTATTCCTTCCTACTGGTAATATGGATGCAGGTTTGAGGCAGGAATGTTCAACAATAATTGTCACAAATTCTTATTTTCTTTCTGTGAAAGTAAACAATTTTTTGTTTTTCCTAGTTTATCAGATCCCCCCCCCCCCCAATGACAATATTGTCAAGTCTAATGTCTCCATTGCGTTGCTCTGTCAGGTTGATTGTGTTCTTTGAGCAGAACGTTCCACATAAAAGAGATTTGGCTTTAAGAAATCTCCAACAAAGCTACAAGTGCTAAAAAATGTATATTGATGCAAACTTAACTGCTTGAGTTTGAGTGTCCATACTATTTTCTATTGGGAGTAGGCGCCAATTGTTATCTTACCAGACATACATATTACACAAACAAAATTTATATTGAAAATATGCATTTTGTTAATGGGCAAACTGTGAGATGCATCAATTTGTTGTAATCTGCAACCACTGTTTGGTGGTTGTCAGCTGTACATAAACTCTGCCAATACAATTTTGTTCTCCACTGTTAGATCTAAAGGTACATGACGGTTTTTTGTTAGTTGCGTAACTGAAGGATTATGAAGTGGAAGACATTACTCCCTCTATTCCATAATATAAGGCATAACCACGTTTTTTAGAAGTTCCATAATATGAGGCATGCATGCATGCAAGCAATTAACTATGACCTCTTCTCCATTAAATTATTACTTTTTTAAATCCTCTACTCTTATGTTCTCTAATTCTATTGGATGCATTCATTATACTCCCTCCATCTACTTTTGATTGTTATATTTCATCTTGGCACACAGATCAAGGATAAGTAATTCTACTTATCATCTATTTAAATATGCTACTAGTCATTCTTCGTAAACAAGCGATTCATTAATATTTACATTTCTCGATGCCCATATGACCAATGTTGTGTGGAAGAATGAAGAGTCACGCATTAAATCCAAGAAAGCCATTAAGATGATAATCTATTGGATTGAAATATGCCTATCAAAAATAAATTTTTCAGATTTGGAAATATGACTATCAAAAGTAGATGGAGGGAGTATTTATTAGGATGATCCAAACTACAAGATAATAATAATTATTTCTTGGTCTTTGGGTTAGAGGTGGTTATGCCTTATATTTTGGAATGGAAGGAGTAATTTACTGCCATGATTACCATTTGGTAACTTTGGTTTGTGTAGTGGTGGTATATATGCAACAAGTCATACATACCCTACCTAGAATTTTTACATTTTAACCCTTTTTAAACCTTATTTTACAAATAAATACCACAAAATTCTCCCACCTTCCAAAATACCACAATGAAACCCTATTCCTTCCAGAAAAAAGCACAAATCTTAACAAAATTGACGCGAGGGAGACAACGCTACTTTCCAAAGACCAAGTTGCCCCTCAGCCCTTTTGTTCAACCTGTCGTATCTTCCCCCTTTCTTCTCATACTTCACCAATTTTCTCTTCGAGCCTTAAGTCCACATCTATGGCAATGACGCAGGGAAAAGCAGGCACAAATCCACCTAGAGGCCTCAATTTTTTCTCCCAAACTCTAGAGCTTGAGCTGCATAAAAAGAAAAAAAAAACAGTGGCTCTCCCTCTTCTTACTCCTGTGCAGTGGTTCTTGTTCTTTCGGTGACTCCTAAACTAGTTTCTTCTGCAAGGTGATGCTTGGGGATGGGTTTCTAGCGCCGCCATGGATGCTTCAGTCAATTTTTAGGGCTTGGGGATGGATTTATGGTGCCGCCATGTATACTTGATCGATTGTTACGGTTAGGGAACAACTGGTGAGCGAGGATGCATGATGAGAGGTTGAAGAAGGAGATGCAGGGGCAACTTTGTCTCGGTAAGTCACAAAATCTATTCCGATCGATGGTACCTAATGTTTGTGGTATTTTTGAAAGGTGGAAGGGTCTTAAGGTATTTATTGGTACTGATAAAATGTAAAATATTTATGCTATAGATGAAACTTTCCCATTTAGAGATGATCTCGATGGGCAAATAGACTAGGGTATTTCCTCAAAAAAATGGACTAGGGTATTAATTCAGTTCACATCCCTTAGTAAATTATCTCTCTTCCTCCTCAATGGAAAACTTATGTTTTTTGATCATCTTCTCACATCTTTTATTTTTGGAGCTAAAAGTCAAAATAACTTCTTCGAGGAATTCTCTTGGGGAATTTACCTCATTGTCTTTATACTCAGGAATCTGATTCACCATGAGCCATGAAGCATACGCCGAAGATGTTCTTTCCCTTGTCATTGTCTTCACCACTCTCAAGATCTGCACTACTTGATTCAATACCTTCTTGAGCTTGCTTGGACTTCCTTCCATTGAACATTCCTTTTAGCTTATTGTCCTTGAACTTTGTCTCCATTGTCTTTTTTCTTGGCTCTCCCAAGCTTGGGGCAGTGCAAACGGATGTGATCAAGCTCTCCACACTCAAAGCAAAGAACTCGACCTCCTATTTTCTTGAACTTGACATCATTCATAGTTCGAGACAACTTGTTTATAGTCAAAGCCAACTCCTCCTCGAATTGCTCGAGTTGATCATCGGACATGACGTTAATAGTAGAAAGAGCAGTAGGAGTTGACTAAGAAGCACCAATATCCAAAGAAGTCGAAGGAGAAACCAATGCACTAGATTTAGAATCAACTTTACGAGAAAGAATATTTATCTCATAAGTTTTGAGTCTAGTGTAAAGTGAATCTAAAGTCAAAGTGGGCATGTCAACAGATTCCTGAACACACGTAATTTTCATCTCACAAACAGACATACCAAGACCATTCAAAAAGTGACAATCTTAGATTGTGAGTAGAAGTATCATAAGATGTATCAACAAATCTAAGATTACTCAAAACTTTGTCAAAGCATGCAAGGTAATCATCCAAAGCCTCTCCATGTTTCTTCTCAAATTTTATGTAATCCTTTTTGAAAACATCTTTGCGTAGTTCCTTGATATTTGAAGTTCCTTGATGAAAGTTTTCTAAAGCAATCCAAATCTCATGTGCAGTTTCAAGATGTGAAACACGATCAAAATCAAAACGAGGAATTCCATTAAGCGAAATATTACGAGCTTTACAATTATCTTCAAACAGTTTTTAAAGCAGCAGTATTTATCTGATCAGGAATTTCGTAAACATTAGCAACCTTTTTCCAAATATCATAATCCTCAGCCATAATATAAGATTACATCTTTTGACATCAATAAGGAAAATCAAGTCCATCGAAAACATGTGGCTTAGTTGTAAAAATCCGAAGAAGAAAATAAGACTCTGATACCACTTGTAGGATTGCACAGCAAGAACTAAGCCAACCAGGCGGGAGGGGGTGTGAATGGTTGTAGTGCCCCAAAACCAAAAACTTTTAACGCAATTAAAAGTTACCCTCAAATCGATGGAGATCGGTCTGACCGCATATCTTGCACCGGTCTGACCGCGCCTGTGCCGTTGGTCTGACCGGTGTAGATCGGTCGGTCTGACCGAGTCGCGTCTCCTCCTCCTGTCGTCACCGCTGCCGGTCCAACCGCAGTTGTGCCGTTGGTCTGACCGGTGCGTTGCCGCTGGTGTGACTGCCGTGCACTCGCCGATGTGACCGCCAAAACCCCGAGCAAGCACAAATTGAAGATCTCTCAAAGTAGATCGAACTTTATTACTTCTATTCATGTTTACAAAGTACAACACTCCACTCGAAAATCTCGACTAAACTCGAAGCCCTAACTTTTCTCTAAACTCAACTCTCACACAATCGATACCGGGAGGCCTCACCCTCTCTATTTATACCCGAGGTAGGGAGTCTAAATCCATGAACCCAACTTGTACAAAAAGTTCTAATCCCCTAGGAAACCTTCCCGTACAAGAAATAAACTTTACAAACTTCAATCATAAAAAATTTGGACTCCTTTCAAATTCGACTCCGTATCTCATACACACGACATCTCCATTGTATGGCATATGGAATCTTCACCAACACTGCATTGATCTTTAGCATAAGCATCCCGCATGATATCCTGATCGTCCAAACGTCATCTTCTCCTAAGTTGACTCCCAATCCATCACCGGCAACACTCTCCCGAGACATCAAGACTCACATACACATGAATCAACCAAGAAATTATATCCGAGCAAAAGTTCTCTCCAACTTGACTCAACATTAGCACACAACAGTATTACGAGAAGCCATAAATATGAATTAATCACAAATATCCAAAGAAACAACCAGAAACCGAAACCGACACAGTGTTGGTCAGTCAAACCGTCGGGCCAGCCGGTCTGACCGGCTGCACCTGCCCGGTCTAGCCAGACCACACAGTTAGCAACATCTTGTCCATCATCTAAAAACCACACATCTCCAAAACCACTTTGTCGAATGTCTCCAAATATCAAAACCAATTATCTTACATGCCAATTGTTCATTGTAAAACAATAGTTAAACACACTTTGATTTTACACTCAACCCCTCAAGATGATTCACCTACTTGATGGCCCTGGACACATGGAAACAGCACGACCCTATCTCATTTTGCTCATTAAGTTTGGTGCTCTAGTATGTTTTTCTTTAGAACAACTAGTATGCAATTGACATGTGAATCACCCAATTGTTTGGGGAACTATTTTAGCATGATATTGCCCACAGGCCTAATGTTAAGTTGGAGGATAATAGGACCTCAGTCTTTTAGCTCATGGACCATCACATTTTCATTTTTTTAAGAGATAGCCATGATGTTGCAATCTGTCAACTGATAGTAAATGCATTTAAGCAATGCCACTAATCTTGGAAAGCACCTATTCTATTTCATTAAGTAGCTTGCCCACAATGGGACTTGATCAGATGGTGTCATCAATGATCAATCTTTCATGTTGCTTTGCAAATGGAACAGTCTTGAGTAGACACCATCATCTGCAGTGATCAGTGTGTGGTGATTACCAAGTTCAACCACTTTGCCTCTCTCCATCACGACAATCGTGTCTGAATTTATGACCGTGGACAATCTATGCGCCACTGTGATACTTGTAATCTTGCTTGATCCCTCATTTCTGTCCTTCCAGTCCTTGGCCCCTAAAGAACTCATCACCACTCTCTCAGATTCACCATCAAGTGCGCTGGTTGCCTCATCAAGAAGAAGAATGACTGGACGCTTAAGAAGAGTTCTTGCAATAGCTATCCGCTGTTTCTGCCCTCCTGAAAGCTGGCTTCCTTTCTCCCCAACAACCGTGTCATACCCTTTTGGTAGGCTGCTGATGAATTCGTGAATGTTCGCCTCCATTGCAGCCTGAATTATTTCAGTCTCTGAAGTCTCTTCGCTTCCGTAGCTAATGTTATCTCTGATGGATGAATTGAACAAGATTGGTTCTTGTTGGACTAGCCCAATCTGTTTCCTGAGCCACCTGAGATTGTAGTCTTTTATGTTCTTGTTGTCAATTAGTACTCTCCCTCTCTGAGGATCATAGAATCTCAATAGTAGTGCCAGGACAGAGGATTTTCCCGCGCCGCTTGGACCAACCAATGCTACTCTTTGGCCAGGCTCAATGACTAGACTGAAGCCATCAAGAATGGTCACCTCTGGTCTAGATGGATAGTTGAAGCTCACATCTTGAAACTCAGTTCTTCCCATGAGCCAGCCATCACTTGGATTTTCTGGTCTGTCTGGCACAATCTGTGTGTCCCTATCAAGCATTTCAAATGCAGGATTGAGTACTGCAATGGCTGACATGACCATGGGGATCAGAGTCCATAGCTCTGTTATGGAAGGCACTGTGAGTGAGAATATCTGGTATGATCTTATGCTGTTCTCAAATGAAGCCTGCTTCCTCTGAACCAGAACTGTGGTGTACCAAAGCGCCACTGCATGTGCAATATTCCAAAGGCAGAGTGAGATCCCTTGGACTACGCCGTACTTCATGCTCTCGATCTTGGTAACTCGCATGGGTTCTTGCAGCGACAATTCTGCTTTCTTGATTATTTCATCCTCATATACAAAGGATGCCACAGTTCTGATGTTGCTAGCTGCCTCTGAAGCAAGGGAGACAAGTTCCTGGTGAGCAATAGCAGAGTCACCATAGAACCCTTTGGCTGCCTTGGCCTGAATAAGGCCACCGATGAAATGGCATGGCATGACTGCCCATGATACTAAACCCATCCTCCAATTGACATACATGCTTACTACTGTTGCTATCAGAATTGAAGAGATGCATTGCACAATGACTGCCATTCTATCAGATATAATGGTCTTGACTGTCGATGTGTCGCTCACGATGCGTGAGGTAAGAAAGCCTACACCATTTTTTGGCTTTTCAAACCAGCCAAGCTCATTTCGGAGAACAGCTGCATTATATTGAAACAAAACAAAAAAAAAACTTGTCATATTGTGAAAACTGAAATGCAACATTGGCTCTTTCAAGGTATTGAGAAGTACAAGAAAGAAAACTTTCATAGAACATACATGAAAAGATGGCCTCCCTGAGGATTTTCATTGCCTTTTCTCCAACAACACCATAAATATAGTGTTGGAAGATGTTACTGGCAAGCGTGATCACCCCAGCTGTGAAGAAAATCAAAGAATACTTGCTGACTTTCCTTTTTGCATCTAGATCATAATATGCCACACCAATTGTCATGATGAAGTAACCAAACAAGGGCTTTGAGATCCCAGATATAGCTGCTGATGATGACCCTAATAGTATCTTTGCAATGTCGTCTTTCTGCAGCCCATACCAAAGTCTAAAGAAAGGATGTATTTCCTTTCTGACCTCTTGCTTTGGTTGCTTAGAGTTTAGTTGTTCCAATTTGTTCTGTTGTCCCTGCTTTGGAGAGAGCTGCCTGTCGTACACTTCATCAATTTCATCTTCTATGACATTATCAGAAGAGCTGTTTAATCAACCGAAATGTAAAAATTAGTACTAATTCTTTTTTGAGCGAAGTAATCCTACTGGCATATAGTATTATTATATTCACTAAACTTTGTGCCATTGATTTTATATGTTTTCATTAAGTTTTGTAATTCTAGATCTTTTTAATAGTGAGACTTAGCTGATGATTTCAAACCATTCACTTTCAGCTTGCACAATCTGCAGGAAAGGATCCTTTCGGTACCCAACATGCATGCGCTATTTTTATCAATGGTAAGCATAAACTATTGGTGAAATGAAGCTTTCCATTTTGCTACGTTTTACTTTACCTTGCGACCCTCGTTCCAGCTTCCTTCTCAATATTTTGCATGCTGCATACATTTGAGTAGAATGTGCTTTTCTCAATCAACTCTTGATGAGTTCCAGTTTGAGCTACCTTTCCATTCTCCACGACAACAATTGTGTCGGCATTTACAATTGTAGACATTCTGTGTGCTATCAATATGACAGTCCTCCCACTCATGGCCTTCTCAAGCGCATCCTGAACTAGCTTTTCTGACTCTGAATCAAGGGCACTTGTTGCTTCATCCAGAAGCAGGATTGGTGGATCCTTGAGCATTGCCCTTGCAATAGCTATTCGTTGTTTCTGACCTCCCGACAACTGCACTCCCCTTTCTCCTACCTGAATCAACAAAGATTTTTGTGAGGCACTAGGAAAGTATGTTTGAACCAAAAAAGAAATGGTCATGTATATAATGAAAGATGGAAACATGAATGATTTTCCAATAGGAACACAGAATTTACATGATATTGTCACTTGCATACTAAAATACTTGTTATTCTCTCTTTAGCAATTGTTTATTTATTTTTCTGTTATGTAATTTGCATGTCGTCAGTCATCAATTTTGAAAAAAACAAATCAGTTTTTCATCATCAGAACAATACCCACATTTATGGTTTTGTTTTTAACTTTAAAAGGTCATCTGCCCTTGCCTGTCCTAATTAAAATCGTAGGTAGAGGTTTTTTTTCTAGATACTGGATAAGCCTCCGGCGAATATATGAATTCCCCCTTGTTTTTTGCATTTCTACTGAAAGCATACACACCTCTGTTAAGTATTCATTTGGAAGTTTGGATATAAATGAATGGACATTAGCTGTTCTTGCTGCTTTGGTTATCTCGTCGTCATTTGCATCCATTTTACCAATCCTCAAGTTGTCCTTGATAGTGCCTGAAAATAGCGATGGCTCCTGGGAGACTGAAGCAATGTTTCTTCGGAGGGATTCCAGATCAAGTTTCTTGATACTGTGACCATCAATTAAAATGCTACCTGCAGTATTAGGCTTTATTACTGACTGAAACATTTTTAAACTAATATTTACTCTTTGTAAACAATATACTCAGGCAAACTAGCATCTGACCAACCTTAATTCTAATGTGGAGGTTTACATAAGTAAAAAATATAATATTTACTTAGCTCATGCATGTAGTTTCAGAGAAGCATACCTGAGGTTGGATCATAGAACCTTTGGAGTAGTGAGATCACAGTGCTCTTCCCACAGCCACTGCTTCCTACAAGTGCAACGACTTTGCCTGCGGGGATGGATAATGAGAATCCTTGGAGAATTGGCTTATCCTGCCTGGATGGATAGGCGAAATGCACCCTACGGAATTTTATCTCCCCATGAACCTTTCCTAGCACTGATCCATGTTTCTCATAACTAATGGATGGCTTTCTTTTGATAACCTTGAATACTTCTTTTCCTGCAGCTTTTGCTTGATTAAAGGTCTGAAGGTCTGGTGCAGCATAAGTAATTGATCTGAATCCATGTGGTGGAAATCATGTGAGTATCTTTTCATGAAATTTTCAAGAAATAAATAATGCATTGGACCTTCAGAATTACATTATCACACACGTGTATTATACTCATTTTAGTCGGAAAGTATTTCAGTGATATCTTGAACTAAGAGTCTCACCTGAAACTTTGCTTTCTTTTCAAATTGACTGCTTTTAACATCGGAAAGTTAATTTTTGAATAGAAATTTTGGTGTAAGAGAATCAGTCAGGATGTTACTGTATCATTACATTGCTCCGAAGAGGATGCTCATGATGGCAGCTATCGTGCCACCTCCTGTTGCCTTTCGGCTGGTTACTGCGACTGCCCCAATCCAAACCATCAGTGCCCATGAACAGAAGGTCACAGCTTGGAACAATCCCAGTCCTATCCCTTTTATCACTGCCTCCTTCTTACTTAGTTTGTACTGATTATCCATGCACCGGACAAAGGATCTCATGGCCCGTTTCTCCCCAACAAAGGAGAAAACAGTCTTAATATGCGACAAAGTCTGCTCAGAAAAAGGTGTAGTAGGATTAAGAATTTAAATCTTGTAGGCAATCGTTTATACTTCCAATTAACTTGGCTTGAGCTGATGTAAATGATTTACCTGTTCTACAATAGATGTTGCTTCTGAGACTATAGCATTACGAGATAACGATATGCCATTCATCTGTTTCGTGTATGTTGCTCCAATGACGAGGATCAGAGGAATGACCAGAAAGGAGAGCAATGCGACTTCCCAGCAGCTGGCAAATGCAATTATGATACCAGCAAAGAAAGTGGAGAAGCTCGCAACGAAATGACCGAGCTGCAGAAAATTGGGGTCAGGTGCAGTAGTGGTGCACATTGGACCACAGTTTCACAAATATTATGTGCAATGTTCCATAAATCACGAAATCCATTACCTTCTCACCAATTGCATCTTGTATGACACTCATGTGGTTGGTTACTCCGGTGATGATTTTTGCAGTGGTCAAGTCAGTGTCGAAGGCCCCAACCTCTTGATTAAGTACTGATCTCAGAAATGCTAGCCGCATGCGTGCTAATTGTCTTTCACTTGAGTATATCCAGCATGAGATCTCTGCATGCAGATGATAAGAGGATAAGGTAAGCATGTTTTTGTAAGATCTCCTATAATTATCATTTCTGAACATATATGACTACTTATAAAAAAATAGGGTAAAATTAGGCTCCAACCGTAAAAAAAACATATTCTCTAACAATACCATTCATCTCTGACATGCTATTATGTTTCACTAGTTTATAAGTGCCTTTTATGCCATTGCAGATGAAACAAAAATACGAGTTTGGCACTAAATCCCTAATAGCTGGACAAGCGTGCTTGTGAGGCTGTAAAAACATTTATGAGTTTTATGCCCTAATTTTATACTTAATGAGGTAATTCATGAGCAATATTGCAGTTCAACATAATTTACGGCCCTGTTTTCTATTCCTATGTCTATGCTTATTCTGTTTAAATAACTAAATTTAGAATTCTATGCCAGGGTATTTATTTAACCAAATGAAAAGCCACATCTATCATGGAAGATAAAAGGACAGATTGTTTCTGACTTACCGACCATTCCAGCAGGAAGAGTAGCTGCTGCCATGTACCACACAAACGGAACCACCTTCAAGCAAGAAGTGAAAAAAGGTGTAAAAATAAAAAACGATCACAGATCAACATATTGATATTCAAAGGACTAAAATGAGAGAAAAGGCTAATGATGTACATGGATATCATGCTTTTAGAATTGAGAAAACCACCTTATACAATGCATGGACCATGCCCTCCTGATCATTTATGTTGGTTCCATAAGCATCAAGTGCTTTCCCAAGAAGGAGATATCCGACGGGGAATGCCATGCCATGAATTATAGATCCAACAGTTCCCAGGGCCATGAGGAGCCAGTCTACCGCATCGGCGTAGCAAAGCAGCCCGAGGAATGGAAATGGCTTCTCGTCGGTGCTGGATTCTGACGGAACTGGGATTGTGCTATTACTTTCATCCATTTCATCAAATTGAGATGATGAAATAGAGTGGTCTTCATCATGGACTGTAGACATCTTTTTTCAGTGATGATCTTGGTGACCCCTTTTGCAGTAGAGTGGCACTGAAAGGAGATTCATAGATGGCATTAGTATTAGAGGTATGCACATTTCATACTGGTGCATGTTTACGTGTAGATACTGACAAACATGTCTTCCAAAATGGAGTGAGACAAACACAATAGGTACTCTCAAGGTTGGAAACAAAATATTTCTGAACTGGTAAAGGGATCAGCATATTATGTCAAATTGTCAATATTAGTGGTGGTGTTTGCCTAAGCTTTGACACTGTTAGTTGTCTTTGACAAACTTAGCTGTTTGATTAAACAAAACATGTGAAAGCTGCCTAGCTGCTTGACTGAATCAGTGAAGCTAAGAGAAAACTGAGAAATGATAGGAGAGTCTGCACACTTCACATTATATTTTACATTTTTTTTGTGTGGACCATCAAGAAACTGGATTATCACATGATGCCACTTGATTTGTTCCTTTTATCTTGATCTAAAAAATTCATCTGGAAGCCAAATCAATGTCTGGGGATCTCACTTTAATGATCCTTAACCTTGACCAATCAAATGCATTTCTCACCTCCTTGGATGATGACTTGTTAATTAAGATAAAAAAGATTTGATCTGCAGATTATGTTAAGCTGTGCTTACATGACCAAGGTGGGTTTCTGGGAATAACTGTGGCATAATCTGAGCATATTCTGTTTTAGACTGCAATACTGCATATCATACACAAGGCTGTCGATGTCGTCATGTCGCATGCCATTGCAACCAACCCGGAATGCTTGTTTGCACCTGAGGAAGTTTGTTTATGTATGTTGTCCAGGAGGGAGTATCCAAGGGGAAATAGTGTATCATTTCTGATCATTGCCAGCATACTGAACATTTTGCCTGTTAGTCATACAACCTGATGAAAAATAACAGCTGCATCGATCACATTGTGCATGTTGCCGTTTGCAATTGGGAGGCACACGGGTAGCTGGTTGGTTCTCCAGGTGGTTTTTGACAATCTTCGTTGATGCTGCAAAGGTAGTCTCCAAAAGAAGAGCCAATTTGGTTTATTCCCAGAATTTTGTGCAAAAAGCTCCTATATTTGCAGTTTGGAAGAAATTTGGATTATTATCCAGGCTCGGGAGGCCAGTCAACTGGAAGCTACAAAGAAAACGTTTTCTTGATTGAAGCACCAGCGTATGCATATGCTACTTCAGTTTTCGTCTTTCTGCTGTTGTGCTCATTAGCAACATTCATGCTGTTAGAGAAATGCAAGTTATGACCGCATCATCCATGTCATTTTCACTGATGGGATCAGGAGGGAATATCCGGAATTTCAGATGTCTTGTGGGACACAGGGATGACTGGTTCAAACTACTGTTTAAAAATTTTGAGTTCAGTCTTACATTTTGGAAGTTTTTGAGGATTATATTGTCTGCCAGAGTACTCTCCTCATAGTGCATGTTTGTCCTGACTTTGTATCCATGCAGATGAGAGTAGTTGTACCTATTTCTTGAATAAGTTTACCGACACATCATTTCTTAACATTTTGCTGGTTGCTCCTACAAAATCCGGTTCCAATAAGAGCTCAGATCTGTGTTTGTTCTCTGAATTTTGCGCAAAAAGTTGCCGAATTTGCATTGCCTGGCTTTTTTTAGGCTCAGTAGGCTGGCCAGTCAATTGGAATCTTCAAATGACAAAGAAGAAGAAGAAATTTCTCCTTAATTTGCCACATGGTTGGAAGGCCAAACAAAATGATGCATCATGTCTGAACATTTTCAAGAAGGGAGCCTATTTGTTTTCTTATCAGAAATTTTCATGAAAAGCTCCGAAATTTGCAGCCATCTCCGGATGCTTGTTTGCACCTGAAGAAGTTTGCTGATGCTACTTGTCCAAGAGGGAGAGCATACAAGGGAAAATGCTGCATTACTTCTGATCATTGCCAGAGAATCATTCGATAGTCTTAAGTCTTAACCCTGTCTCATGCAAACTGAACATGTTGCTTGGTGCTCGTAAAAAACTGACAGAAACTAACGTTGCATCTGATCGCATTGTGCAGGTTTCCATCTGCAATTGGGAGGCACACTGACACCTGGTCGGTTCTCCAGGCGATTTTCGACAATCTTTGTCGACGCTGCGAAAATGGTCTCCAAGAAAAGGGCCAATTTGGTTTCTTCTCAGAATTTTGCGCAAAAACCTCCCAGATTTGAAGCTACAAAAAACATTTCTTGACCGAGAGGGATTTTGTTCCATCCTTCGCTCTACTAATCAGATCATTCTCAGACGTCCAAAGCAGGATATGCTACTTCAGTTTTGTTTTTTTGTTGTTGTTCTCATTAGGCACGAGTATGAAGATACATAAATGTAAGTTCTGATCGCACCATCCATGTCATTTTCACTGATGGGATCAGGAGAGAATATCCGGATTTTCGGATGATGTCTTGTGGGAATGCAAGGATGACTCGTTCAAATTCCTTTTTTTTTAAAAAAAAAATGAATCTTATGTAACATCTCCATTGTTCACTCTTGCATTTTGCACGGTTGACTTGCCTGATTGAACTTTTTGGAGATGACAGAATGCTATGTTTGAACCGACATATTTGTTGTGAATTTGTATCTGTGCCATCATACATGGGATGAATGGCGCTCCCTTTGTCTCAAAATATATCTACCTTTCCAGTTCTATATTTTAAGACAGAGGTAGTATAAAATTTGCTTGTTTTATAATGACATATCGGTACGATTACCTATTTGAATACTAAGGCTGTGTTCGGTATTGGAGGATGGGAACATATCCTTCCTGCATGGAAAACGGAGCGGTTCATTAGCACGTGATTAATTAAGTAATAGCTATTTTTCTCAAAAATGGATCAATATGATTTTTTAAGCAACTTTCGTATAGAAACTTTTTGCAAAAAACACACCGTTTAGCAGTTTGAAAAACGTGCGCGTGGAAAACGAGATGGTAGAGTTGGGAACTCCCGGTTCCGAACACAACCTAAGGTAGCTATGCACTGGGAAATTAAAAAAAAAAAGAAGAGCAAAACTACGACTCATAAAAGAATTTGTGCTGATGTCAACTGTTCTGATTGAATCATCTGCTTGCGTAGGAATAATCAAATTCAGCTCATCTAACCAAATATCTTTTTTAGATAATGGATTAAAACCCGACTTCTACACTAATAAGGATGCACACAGGCAAATCTAACCAAATAAACACACTAAGGAAACATAATTTAGATACACCTTTATATATTATTGTACATGTACAAGGGTAGAGTGTCTAACTTTCTTAGAACAGAAATGGAGTATTCCTTGTAATCCAAGAAGCTTAGAACTCTCCCCAAATCAACCTTTTTCTTTTTGGACAAGAGCTGGTGAAAGGAGCATAACATATGCCACTCATTTTCATTAGGTCCTAGCCAACAATGGAATTACCCGGTTAGACAGCAATACAGCATAGATTAAGGGTAAGTAAATCGACCCACAAATACACTTATAGGACCCATGGGCTATCCACCTTTTGGGCTAGGTCAACCCACTTACATCCTTAGATAGCCCTGTTAAATATATATTTTAGATGTAAAATGTTCCATGTTCATCTCTATATTAGTTTTGTCAAATTGTCTACTTGAAAACTGAATTGGTAAAATACTTACATTTTGTCCTCATATCCATGTCTATCACATTGTCACTGCATCGTTGGTACGAAAAAAAATTGTCACTAAGTCCTCAATATTGATGAACAAGAGACTAATTGAAATGGAAGCCAATGGCATGAAAGGCATGGTGTGATGTAGATGATAAGACTTTAGCTACAATGAATAGAGCTAATTCGAAATCAGCTATCATGAATGTATAACTCTAGCATGTAGTCTGTATCTTGTTTATCACATAAACTTCGGGCTTGTTCACTTCATTACCAAAAAAAGAAAAAGAAAAAGAAAAATCCTTATCAATCTTTGGCATTGCCAAATTTTGGCATTATCAAATTTTGGTAAGATAAGATGAAGATGGGTAGTATTTAGTTTGATTCCTAACTAAATATTGAGAGTAGTCTTGTGAGTATAAAGTTATAAAAATACAAAATTTGACAAGGTTGTGTTGGTAGTGATATGTTTAGTTTGGTTCATTATCAAATTTAGGTATGGAATGGTTGAGAACAGTAAGGAAATGAACAAGCTCTTCTTTCAAACCACAGTGGATGCAGAAAACCATATTTTTCTCCCCTTTTTTGTTTTGCTTTTCTCGCGTGTGTTTTGCCTTTTTTTTACAATTACTTTCTCACGTGGTTTTTTTTGCCTGTTTTTTCTGAATGTTATTTTTTGCTTTTTTCCCATACATGAGAATATATGACGAAATAAAAGCCGTGTAGTACATGGTAAAAAATTGATGGATCCTATCCGACTCAAGCGTCCATCAACTTTTTTCTAATAGTTTTTTCAGAGCGATTTTTTTATATAGATAGTGTTTTTTTTCTTGCGTGGTTTTTTCATACCATTTTTTTTAGAAATGGTGCATTTTTTCTGACAGTCTTTTCCTCGCATGTTTTTTTAAAAAGTTTTTGCCGACAATGGAAATAATTTTTCTCACTTGTTTTTTTATTTTTTTTAAGAAGATGGAAAAACCTTTTTAGCGTGTTTTACGCTTTTTTCTGACTTTTTTTCTCACACGTTTTTTTTTATCGTTTTTATTTTCTCGTGCATTTTTTATTTTTAAATAGTTAGATTAGATTAGAGATAGAGAAGAGATTTATACTGATTAGAAATTGGACTTTGTTTTGCCATTTTCTTTTTTTTCTCGCGTGCATTATTTATTTTATACGAACCAGCTTTTTATTTTTTACGAACCATTTTTTTGCCACTTTCTTAGTGAATCGGACGAACCTTTTTAGATGTTTTTTCGGATTTTTTTCGCCTTTACAGGAATTAGACTTTTTTTTCATTTTTAATGGAATCGGATCTAGCGTTTTTTTTCACCACTTTTTTTTTTGCCTTTTATAGGAATCGGATTTTTTTTCCGTTTGCATCTACAGTTTTTTTTTGCCACTTAGGGGAAATAGACTTTTGTTGTTGTTGTTTTTTGTTTATTTTTTTTTGTGTGGCTTTTTCTTTTTATGCAGCTTTCTGCCTTTGTTCTATCCCTTTTATTTATTGTTTTTTTAAAAAAAAGACCAAAAGCACCTTATTGCAAGATTACAGGGACTCAAATATAAATATAAAAATTATAGGGACTCAAATGCAAATGTACAAATCCAAAAATTAAAATCATATAAAAATGGAATGCTCTTGACATGTAGGTTCCGTTTTTGCAAACAGATCTTCAATCCGACACATCAATTTTTTTCACCAAGATGTATGGAATATCACGGTAGAGATTAAAACCGAGAGAAGCGGTGCGTAGTATCTCGGACTCAAACCGAGAGGAGTGGGACTCGGATCTAGAGTCGGACTTTTTTTTTCTGAGAGGGAATAGCAACGAGGAGTCGGACTTTTTTTTATTTTTATCGCTATTTTCTTTAGGGACCGAGTCGGAGTTTTTTTTACCGCTATTTTGTTTTTTTCTTTTTTTTCGCACTTTTTGTTCGCCCGGTTTTTTGATCGGTCAATTTTGGTTTTTTCGCCCGGTTTTTTTCCTTTTTTCTGGATCGAACATATTTGGTTTTTCTTTTTTTCGCACTTTTTTAGCCCGGTTTTTTTATCGGACAAACTTGGTTTTTTTTCGTTCGGTTTTTTTGACGGACGATGGAAGCACCTCTTATTTTTTAAGTAGTAGAGATTTTGTAATAATGAAAACTCAATTAATCACACGTTATTACCACATCATTTTACGTGAAACACTTGATCTTTATCTTTATTAATGTTTCACATCACCAGTGGTTCTGGTATTTTTCAGTAAGGCCCTTCATTTGAGCTCTATTAATGTTTGCGATCCTAGTTTTATGCAAATTAGGCCCTGTTTAGTTCCAAAAACTTTTTCCCAAAAACATCACATTGAATCTTTGGACACATACATATAGTATTAAATATAGATAAATTAAAAAACTAATTCCACAGTTAGGGGGAAAATTGCGAGACGAATCTTTTGAGTCTAATTAGTCCATGATTAGCCATACGTGCTACAATAACCCACATATACTAATGACGAATTAATTAGGCTCAAAAGATTCGTCTCGCGGTTTCCAGGCGAGTTATAAAATTAGTTTTTTTATTCGTATCCAAAACTCCTTCTAATATCCGGTCAAACGTCCGACATGACACCTAGAAATTTTGTTTTCGCGAACTAAGCAGGCCTCCCTTAGTCCCTCCTTTGGGTCTGAAGGATTTTTCTCTTCTCTTCACTGGAGTAGATCGGCGAAGGAGTTTCACCAGCAACCGCCCGCCACGGTGGTCGCCGGCGATGGCCTCCACCTCCGCCGCCACATCCGCCGCCCCATCCCGCGGCGGCGCGCGGGAGTGGCGCACGGCGCTCCTCACCCTCCGCGACGAGTCGGTGGTCTCGCCCTCCCCACCGGCGCTCCTCGCGCTCCTCCGCCGCGTCCTCCTCCTCTCCGCCGCCGCCGCCGCCCCGCCGCACTCCCTCGCCGCGTCCGCCGCCGCGGTCTCCGCCCACGAGGTCCCCCCCCCCCGCTCCCGCGCAGCTTGGTCTCTGCTCTGCGTGTGCTCTGGTTTCGGTCTCTCTCACACTCTCGTCTGCTGCTGTGACCGTGTGCAGGTGGGCTCGGATGTGGCGTTCCTCGCGGAGACGGCCGCGGCGGTGTCCCCCTGCGACGGCGCCGATGATGTGCTGCGTGGCGTTTGCCATCTGGTGATGATTCTGATTCCACTCGCTCGAGATCTTGCTTTAATGTGGACTGACAATGATAGTGTAGAACATTCAGATTGTCTACGGATTGATGTCCCTTAATTGTCCCTGTTTAATTTTTCCTTCGTTTCAAACTAGTACGTGGGTGGGTGTTTTGGCTGTGTTCATCTTTGCTGTGCAGAGGCTGGGAGTGTTCTCAGTACGGTTGTATCACTTTGATGTTATCTAAAAAAAGAATTCAGATGGGAGACCATTAGCACAAAATGTATGGCATTTTTAGTTCTCATTACTCTAAGCTCTAATGGTTGGTGAGATATCGTGCTGCGATATGGAATTCTAATATTTGTTGATCAATGTGACTGACGAATTAAAACCGTCGGATTTGGTTTTTGTTCCTCCGTGTCAATTTGTTTGCTGAATACTTATGCTCTGATTTTTCTGAAAATCTACTCATGCAGATTCATGATATCATGTACAAAACAAATATGGAGATCGACTCGTCTTGTTTACTGGCAATGCTGAAGTTTCTTGATGTTCTTATGCAATGTTCATTGGAGGGTTCATGTGGTAAGGGCCTCT